TCTAAAGAATTGGTGCAAACTGCTGTCCCATAACCACACAAAAAAACACATTTAAAAAGCATTTAGGTATTCAAATTTTAGATGTTTACAAAGATCCTTCTATCATCTATTGAATCCCACAATCATATTTAAAATATCAGTAAGCTTAATTTATATAAAATCATAATTTATTGGGTACTTTCGATTGGGAGGTGGCTGTCCCAAACCCGAACCCCCAAATTTCAACTTGTAAAAATTATTTTGAAATATTTTTTTAAAATGTTTACATTGTAGTTTTTAAAAAATATCTTTTTACGTTAAATTATGTCAAAAAAAAATGTGTCCCGCATTTTCATGTCACTACCAAAACAGTGTGTGTTTTAGTCCATTGGCTGAGACTGATTTTAACCACACCCCTACATTTTTGATCAGGAAATATTCCTGTGTCCCTCTCTCTCAAAGCCTCTCTTTCATTGTAGATAGGTACCATCATTTTGAGGGAAACGTCACGACCAAACACCTTTTTTCTGCAATTAAGCAAACTTTTTTGGGGTGTAATTCCATAAAATGTTGTTTTTATGTGTGTACAACTGTTCAGAACTGTGCTAGGTAACCATGTGCTGGTTATCATCTTTGAACTAGGCTCAAAAGTATCTTTAAATTGTCACCACCGAAACATTCATGACCGAAACATGCCACCATTGTTTTGGTAGTGACAAAAAGGGAACACAAAATCATTTATTTGGGGGAAATAAACTAAATTTTAGTACAGTTATGCAAATCATTAGTTTTCTGTAATGTGATGTGGTCGCTACCAAAACATTACTGTCATCACAGAAAGCGTGCCGTCACGACCGAAACATGGATGTTTTGTCTAAAATAAAGTATACTGAATTATCAACTAAGATATTATTATAGTGTTTGGTTCAATGTATATTCAAACTAATGAATCCTTAACTTTGAAATCAGTATGATTAACTTAATGCCTTTTACAAAGAAAGATTGGATTCAAAATACAACAAATCTCATAAATTACACTTGAAATATTGTTAAAATTGAAATAATTATTGATTTACCTGCGATAACTTTTTTTAAAACATCAAAAAATATATTTACAAGGTAAATGTAAACAAAATATTAATAGGTCAATATAAGCCTTCTTATTAATTTATTTATTATTGTGTTTCAGTAGTGACAAATTTGGGGAGAGGAAAAATATTCCAAAACTTTCTGAAAATACAATATGATAATTAATGCACAATTTAGCTACTTGATATGTGTACCTTGGATATTATACAATTTGCATACATACAATATTTGTGAAAAAATACATTTCCAACTCTTACTTTGAGCCAATTCTGTAGAATATGGCCCATAACCTGCGAACATCTTGAGTTAAATAAATATATGCGTCAGATGGCGCTGTGGTGCTTCAGCCTTGTTGAAGTGTGTTGCCAGGTGCGAGTTTTATAAGCGAATTTGGGATTTTTACCATTTGCTTATTTCTCTTGCGCGATCTGGCAACATTGAGTTTCTGGCCTTACCAGTCAACATCAGCTTCCTCAACTCTGTTTCAAACACGCAGCTGGAAAAAATGGTATGTGTATATTTATCAGAGTAGGTTTCTTTATCAAGACGATACTCGTACTTTTTGGTTTCCTTTTAAAACCATACGTCCGAGTAGATATTTAGGCTGTTTTCCCAAAAAGCTGGCATTTTAGCGCTGAAGGGTCACATGACAGCAGCGAGCTAGCGATATCAGTATCGAGTCAGAATGTAGTGTAGTCATTCTCTTTTAAATAGATTAAATAACTGACACATGAAGTATATTCTTCGCTATATAAACTAATTATGCGTTTTAATGTAGCAATACTTAGTATAGTGTGTTAATGCTGAATGCTGAGTCCAGTAACGTTAACAGAATGCTAGCCTACAGTGGCTAACATAAAACTGTTCTTCTAGCAACTTATATTATATGAGGTTGACATGTTGTTTACAAAATTAAAATCAATGTAGACAAAGCAAATCTTTTAAACCGTGTGCTTTGTTTTCTGCTTACAGTGTATTTTTGTTAGACGTATAAAACTGAAGAGAAACGTTTTAAAAATGTATTTGCGAAGCAGTAAATATCGTTCCAAAGCAGTTTTACAGAAATTAACGTTAGTGCTTTCAAATCGAACCGTTGTCATTGAAATTATTTTAGATTCTGTGTTCTTATGGGAAGCGTCAGCAGCAGCTTTTACCCCAATTAACACACTAACACTTCTGCAAGTGTCCTCCATTCATCAACCACAATCAGCTAACATTCAATCTAATTTATGTTGACTTTTCCAGTCGATATCATTTATCCACTTAGTTTTCCTTCTGTCTCACATCACCTTTAATCTTTTGTATGTTGTTTTTTGTCATGATCATGCATCCACATCCTCTTCCTCAAACCCTTCCTCACCCACTGTTCCCCTTCCTGACATCCGCATCGTATTCAGGCTGGTCACAGAGTAAGTGCATCTCCAGACCTCTCCTGTTCCTGGTTTTCTGAATTTTAGAGTAGTGCTGCTGCTTCCTCTGGGCTGCTGGATCTGGCACCATTCCTCTCACCTTCAGTCTTATTTCTGTTTAGACTGCTCTGGGTTTATGATGTTATTTTTTTCTAGAAAGCTTGCAATTAAAATTAATTTGTCTGTGATCATAAAATAGCTAGAAATCTAATTATCAGCTTGCAGAATGATTGAAAATAGCAGAATACTTATCAATCTAGGGATGTTGAACATAATATCATCCTGTTTCTAAGCATTACAGCAACACATTTTGTGGTTTGCATATTTTATGAACATTGTGGTGTATATTTTAAACACAGGCTAATTAGAGTATCAGTGAGACTAGGTCTGACATACCAGTCTCATGGGAGTAATGAGTTATGTTAGGAATGGGATACTTGAGTACTGCTTAGCACACTATATTCTAAACAATGTCTATTTTTCTTTTTTTTCAAGACTATGAACATTTCAATCAGAAGTATGCTATTGCTGTGTGTCATTTATTCTCTTCAAATTTATTCAGTGTTTTATTTAGTTATCATATTAGAAATAAAAACATTAGTTTGCATTATAATCATAAAGTTTTGTTTTCGGATGTCTTAACAACATTCGATTGCATACGGCATAGGGAATGTTTGCATTCTACACATCATAAAGCCAAATACTGCAGAAATAGTATGGCTGCATCCAAAATCGCATACTCTCTTGAGTAGGTACTTATTTTGAGTAAGTACTTAAATTATAAGTAATAAGTATGTTCTATATAGTATGAATGCGTGTAGTATGATTTTAATCCGAACGGACTACATTCACCATGGTTTTATTGTCATGTGACCTACCGGTGTCAGTTGCATCACTTCTCTGCCATTCACAAATCCTCTCCCGTAGCCTCATGGGATGGTAAAGTGTCCATTGGAGAACCTTGCTGGAAGTTAGAAGTCGTCCAGGAACTTTTCACCTGCTGTTTAATTAATACTTTGAATTCTGACATTTTCATACCCTGTTTTTTTTTTTGTTTTTTTTTACTTACTAGCCTATATAGTTTGGAAATATGCCATTTGGATGCAGCCACAGTGTAGGATGTCAGTATACTATTTCAAAGTTTTGTCAAGTAACATTTTTATTTAGGCTTGTATGTGGACGGTTTGATCTCAGCCTGTTTTAGGTTCAACAAAGCTAACAGTCTTAGAAGCAGCTCTCTTCCTCAGCTTTGACTTGATTGTTGTCTGAAGAAAATTTCCAAAGGCAAAACATTCTTTCCAAAAGTATTTAATTAAGATTTTATTCAGACAGCAATGCATTGCTTGCGAGTCGCGACCCCACTTTTCCTTCACCCTTGAGTGTCCAACAACTAACGTTTGAAGAACGCTAACAAGATGTCTTTTGCCATTAGCTGGTGCTTGTGTTAGGTGATCTGCACATTCCCCACCGATGCAACACCCTGCCTCCCAAATTCAAAAAGTTGCTGGTGCCTGGCAAGATTCAGCACATCCTCTGCACAGGAAACCTCTGTACAAAGGAGAGCTATGATTACCTGAAAACACTCGCTGGAGACGTGCACATTGTCAGAGGAGACTTTGATGAGGTTGACTTTTATTACCTATTTCTGTTTTTTCGAAGTTGTTTATGCACTTTTTAACCATCCACATTTCTTGTTTCTAACTGACAGAACTTGAATTACCCGGAGCAGAAGGTGGTGACGGTGGGGCAGTTTAAAATCGGTCTGATCCACGGACACCAAGTGATCCCATGGGGTGACATGGCGAGCTTGGCGCTCCTTCAAAGGCAGCTGGATGTGGATATTCTCATATCTGGCCACACACACAAATTTGAGGCTTTTGAGAATGAGAACAAATTTTATATAAACCCCGGATCTGCCACAGGGGCCTATAGTGCACTGGAAAGGTATAACCTTTACTTTTATCTTCTTCAGATCATGTTTAACCAAACGTTATACGCAATGTTACGTGGATGATTTGTGATTGAATTGTCTCTTTACAGCAACATCACACCATCATTTGTTTTGATGGACATTCAAGCATCCACAGTGGTAACGTATGTCTATCAGCTCATTGGAGATGACGTCAAAGTCGAGAGAATCGAATACAAAAAGTCGTAAAGAACGACGATGCTGTCAGCTGCCGCCTTTCAGGATGCTAATCTTGTCATTCCCTCTCACCTGAACGTCACCATCGTACAAATGCTGTATCATAACGTTACACTATATTTCAATGTAATATATAATACTGTTTATATGTCACCAGAATGTCATCATTTGTGGTTTCAGCAGATGGTTGTTGAAAATGCAATAATGCTGCATTATTTGCATAATTTTAGTGTGAATTAGTCTTATGAATATGTTATGTCCCTTATTAATTTTTCAAGGCCTATGTTAAGTCATCTTTCAGAAAATAAAACCCCACATCACATGAGCAGTGTAATTATTTTTTTAAGAAAACAACAGATTTGACATTATTATTATTAAAATATTTTGAAATGTCTTGGACATCTGGATTGTTTATGTCTAGGATATGTTTTAAGAATGATTTTGTTAGATAGTTTTCATAAATGACAAAAACCTAGATTGATGCGTTAGGTAAGAAATATAAAGTCCTCTTCATCTTCTTCCGATTCATTAAAAGACAGGCCACTCATGTGTCCAGCAAGATAAGAATCTGTTTCAGTCGCCTCCCATTCAAAGTCAGCTTCCCATGGCCGTGATCCTGGAAATGTTAGGTCCATTAACTCCATTTTGAATAATGTTAAAAACTGGAACCTAAAGTGTTCAAAGGATGCTGTATATTGCACCATTGTTAGTCTGTAGTAGAACAAACCTACCCTGTGAAGAAGCATGTTTTGAAATGGTAGCCCTCCTTTTTCTTGGCTGTCCCATATTCGATTTTGCAAATCCAGAAGACACTCTGTGTGTAGTGGTTAAATTGTAAGTTTACAGCTAAGTCTCTCAAAAGTTTTTCCGGTGGCATGCACCATATAGGCTACTTACCTTTGATGATTGACGATATTAGGTAAAGTTGTTTTCTTGACTTTCTCTGAAGTCGAAGATCTCTTTGCACTTTTTGTTTTCTTGTTTATAGATGTACTCTGAGAGTTTGCCATGTGTTCTACTTCTGGGGTGTATGTTGACATCTGCAGTTTCACATTTACATTCACATGATGCGCATCCGGCACTAAATATAGAGTATAAGAAGTTATAATATGTCAAATATTTCATTGTATTAAAAGTTCTTGCTAATACAGGCATAAGTCCCATGCTCATATTATATGATGTGATGGTTCACCTGTCCGGATACACCGGTGTAATACGTTCATATAATGTTGACATATTAGCTGCCGCATGTGCTCTTTGCTGTAGGCCTCTGCGATACTGTACAGAAAACGCTTCTGTCCTGGTGTCAGGCCTGGATGCTGAAAACCAGAGTTTATTTAAATGTGAATTTCGAGTTACCTGGTACAAGGTTCTTATGGCTGCTGAATCAGATATTGTCATCCAAATCATTGCAAATTGACCTTAAGGAATTGTTTTTAATTAAGTTTTCCGCAGACATATAAAAGGTACTCCAACATTTACAAAATGAGACTAAGTGTCTGAGTAAAGAGAAGTAAAAGTAACAGAAAAGTTCAAATAAGGACATGTTTGTCTTTTTCAGTTTTTTTTAATCATTTTACCAACTGCATACATTTTATCAGAATTGTGTATTTTAATTGGAATTTTATTTCACCTTCATTTACTTTAATAAATGTATTTTACACTAGGTACACAAAATAGTTACACTCAGGACCTTAAGGACAAAAATGTCCTCATTGAAACCCATTAAAACTGCAATTATTAATCAGGGCTATTTGAATATAAAATGATGCAGTCTTTGTTAATAGGCTTTCATTCTGCTGGCAATCTAAAACTTATATTTATGGCTTTGATTTTCTAACAGTTTTTGAGTTTTCTAAAATGTGTATTCTAAAATATATATTTTATAGGCTATAAAAATTGTTCATACATCATTTTCATAAACTTAAACCTCTATAACTTTTTGCTTCACTTTTTCTTTTTTCCTTCAACAATAATCTGCCATGGGTCTTTAAATATTTATGACAGTTTTCTGTACATTTTTCTCCTCTACGGACCTCAGTGTAACTTTTTTTTAAATTGACGCACAAGATACATTTTCATGAAATACCTGTAAAAATGGAGCAGCAGTCATGGTCTTAGGGATATGAATAGTTTTAATGCCCCGATCTTGTTCTGGCACATGTACAGTTGCAGGTTGTATTTTATGTCCAAATACTGAGTTTGTTTTTCCTGGATAAGGATAGAATTTAAGTACTTTAAATAAATATTTAGTTACAATTCACAAAGTTATGGAAGTAATAACTCCAAGATCATGGTTTACAACACATTTGACAGCTGTTTGTCTTCAGGATTTTTTTTTTTTTTAACTCAATTGGGTCAGAGACTCTGGTTACTCTGTCCAAATTCTACAGGTGTAACGTTTCTGTAATTTACACAGATTAAGGTTGCTACTCTGTAGCCGTATGGAAAAAACCATGTCAGGCTGCTGGGGAGATAAAATGGTTGTGTTTTGAGTTCATATTTACTATGCATGCTATTGCAGATGTATACTGCATTTACAGATGTTTGCAGCAAAAGAGGTACTATAAAAATGAAGTGATGTGATTCAAGAACTTTAGGATAGTACAACTACAACATGCAAAATAATGCACTAAAGTTATGTGAATTATACAAAATTAAAGGAACACGTTCTTATATAGGACAATAAAATATTTGTAAACAGAAAATTATCTGACATTATTATGATTTTAACTTTTAACTGGGACACATTTCTTTTGAGATGACTAGGAAAAGTGTCCCAATTAACATGAATGACCCAAAGCCAGTGATTGCTAATCTGGCCAATTAATAATTATTTATGGAACAAACTTACCAGTTTGCACATGGTTGAGACCAGATGGCCTGTCAAAACAGTATATCATAGGAAACAAACACATAATGTGTATGTGACAACAGCACACTAAACTTAAAGTCATTTTCATAGTTATCATATTCTCTAGCTTACCTTAAAGGCAAAAACGACTTTTTGTGATGCAGACGACTTTTATCGGTGTTGTTTTCAAGGAATTTCACGTGCTTTTTCATGCCGGAGTGTTACCTGAACTGTGAGATCTGTGGAATACAAGTGATATAAGACGACCTGAAATCCCATCCGATAATGCGCGTGTGTGCGTTTCCAGTGTTTTGACTCTAGCGGGCTTCCGTACTAGGTGACGAAAAAACAGCATGGCAACTGTAGGAATCGTAAGTGGAACACATCGCGGAGACAAATAACGTTTTTAAAAAAAACGACATAACATCTCGTGCTTTTGGAGCTGGAGAATTTACAATGCCTCGATATGCGCAACTAGTGATGGGTCCTGCCGGAAGTGGAAAGGTACTTAAGCTCCAGTGTGATTAGTTGGGCTAACATAGGCTAGTAACATATGATTCCAAATAATTATGATTTTGTTGTTTTGTTGTGCGTATATCTGTGCTGGAGTATAATCCTAAACACTAGACTGGTCTGCATTTCGCGTGATTATAAGTACAATGCATTAAGTGTATTGTTGCTTTCAATATTGTGTAGGCTGGTGTTATTAATAATAAATCAGAGTTATTTTCTCCTTTTTTTCAGAGTACTTACTGTGCCACAATGATAGAGCATTGCCAGGCCCTCAACCGATCTGTACAGGTGGTGAATCTAGATCCAGCTGCAGAACATTTTGAGTATCCTGTCATGGCAGGTGAGGAACCGATACATAGATACACATTACTTACGGTACTCGCAGATCTTTTTTGTTTTTATTTTGAACATATGTTCATATCAAAAAGGTTTTAAAGTTCATGAGAAACAAATTCAGTCAAATGTTTTCAAGCTTTTCACTGGTAGACAGTAATGTGCAGACAGTAATAGTATCGTTAAATTATTTACTTTGAGAAAAACAACTTCAAAGTGTTAAAACATTTAATGATAATGCCTTTAAAACAAACAGGCATTATCATTGTTTAACACACCCACAATAAATCCAAGCAGCACACACTGAAAGAGAAAAAAGTAAATAAATATATTTTTTAAATTAAATAATAAGGAAATTATTACTTACAAATAATAAATACCTCAATAAAAACAAATTATATTATATAACATTACATGGAGGCGCTCACAGTAAGATCGATTAACATTAATTTATTAAACCGATAGGATGAATTTTAATTTCATTATGATTATTTAATTTACTGCGTTATAATTATTTAAAGTTAAATGAGTTAATTCCTTTTTGCTCAAATAAATTGAATAGTCCCCAACAGTCTTAAAATAGATATTTGAGTGATGTAATATTCATTGCATATTTTAAACATTCAAAAGAAAACATCTAGGTAAAGAACAATTTTACCTACAATCATCAATCGAACATGAAATACAATTTCTATTTCAGAATTAGTGGTGCAAATGACAAAAAAACAAAACAAATACTGTTAAAAAAAAATCATGCTTTGATTAACACATTATTAAAATTGTTAAAATACATACAATTTGTGGAAACACTTTACAATAGAGTTTCATTAGTTACCTACTTTAGTTAACAAGAACTAAGAATGAACAATACGTCTCTACAGCATTTATTAATCTTAGTTCATGTGAATTTCAACATTTACTAATACATTATTAAAATCAAATTTTGTTAACATCAATCAGTATTTGGTAACGTTAGGTAATTCACTGTGAGCTAACACGAACAAACAATGAAAGACTGTATTTGTATTAACAAAGATATCATACATATCATTTATGTTAACTTCAATACACCATCCTAGAGAAAAAAACTGCATATACCTCAAATAAAGACCGGTATTCAAATAAACGCCGGGCCTCTGATAGTGGCCGGGGGCGTCGTCAACGCGGACAAATAAAGGCCGGTCTTAAATTAAGGCCGGGGAAAAATTAGTGTACACTCAAAGACGGACTCGCTCAGCGGTTGTCATATCACAACTATTCAGTGTTTTTAACCACATGTTTATTTTAGGTTTCAGACATTTAAATAGATATGATTTATAGCAAAACAATACATTTATAGTTTGTAAAATACACAATGGTGCCTATGGAAGCAGCAATAACAATCCGTTCAAATATATTTGGCGACGTGTTTTATTCATATCAGATACACAGTGTAAGTAACTATAAAGTTTACTCTATTCTTCTCCCAGTTCACCGGCCACTTACTTTCATGTATTTCGGGAGAAACTGAAGAATTCACGCGCTGTAACGGAACAAATCCAACAGACAGGAATCTCCGAACTGCTGTGCCCATCTCACGTTACAGATCAAGATCATTTATAAAGGGTTTTAAACGACAAAACAAACTCACTTACACGGATTTGAGAGTCAGAATAGAAGATAGTTAATGACATGGTAAGCAAGTTTGTTAATATTTAGAAATAAAAGCGCTACATCTGTCATAGAGCGCTATTTTGGCTGTGGTGAACACGTGCCAAGCATGACGCGTCACCATGGAAACTTGGCTGGCGGGCGGGCGGGGATCGCGAATTAGAAATAAAGGCCTGCCTCTAATAAAAGCCTGCTTCAAATAAAAGCCGGCTACCATCTGCAGTTCAGGTAAATAAAGGCCCCGGTCTTTATTTGAGGAATTACGGTAGGTCTACATTCAAAAGCTTGTTTTTGTTGTGTTTTTAGGCAGAGAAAGAACTCTATAGAACTTGTGCTCAATAGTGTCGTTTCTGTAAGAAGTTTGTATTTAAAGACAGCTAGTGTGTTCTTATACAATTGCACTTGTATGCAGATATTCGAGAACTAATCCAAGTAGATGACGTCATGGAGGATGACTCCCTGAGATTCGGCCCCAATGGAGGGCTGATCTTCTGTATGGAGTATTTCGCCAACAACTTTGACTGGCTGGAAGAAAGTCTTGGTCATGTGGAGGATGACTATATACTGTTTGATTGCCCTGGTAAGAGGTGATGTGGTAGATGGTATGGTGCTGTTGAGGACTGGCATGGAACAGTAAAGAGCATTGTGTCCTCTTGACTGCAGGTCAGATCGAGCTGTACACGCATCTGCCTGTAATGAAGCATCTTGTTGAACAGCTACAGCAGTGGGAGTTCCGCGTGTGTGGCGTCTTCCTGGTGGACTCTCAGTTCATGGTCGAGACCTTCAAGGTAATGCTTGTCACACGGCAATGACAAATAATGTAAAAAACAGTGTTACAGTTCTGTGAATTGGAAGTGAAGTCTCCTTCGGCAAGTGTGGTTTGGATTTTTTTGTAGTAATTTTTATTCAGAAATGATTGAAATTGTAAAATCCTAAATTTTATATTTGTTGTAATTCATTTTCTAGTTTATCTCTGGAGTTATGGCTGCCTTGAGTGCTATGGTGTTACTAGAAATCGCACAAGTCAACATAATGACTAAAATGGATCTACTCAATCCAAGGGCTAAGAAGGAAATAGAGAAGTATGTTTTGAGAGATCTTGAAATGAGATCCATTTATAATTCACTTTTTAAACCTACATTTAAGTGTCATAACAGTGTGTTTTTGTTGTTGTTCTGTTTTATTTGCAGGTATCTAGACCCGGATATGTACTCCGTGATGGAGGACAACTCCGTTGCTTTGAGAAGCAAGAAATTCGAAAAATTAACCAAGGCCATTTGTGGTTTGGTAAGTTACAGTTACAAAGATTCTTCCTCGAGTCGAGGAATTAATACATACTGGTATATGTACAATTCAAGTGCATCATCTAGGGCTGAACAATTTTGAGGAAAAATTCCTTATTGAAAATGCGATTAAAAAAAAAAAGCTTCAGGTTTGTTGCGCTGCAAAATCTTACCAGAAATCATTGTTGATTTTACAGTATATATAAATTAGTGATCGACCGATATATCGGCCAGCCGATATATCGGGCCGATATTTGCGGTTTTTACGTGTATCGGAATCGGCCGATACGCGGCTGCTGCGTTCGCCGATAGTTTTTTCCCGGCATTATTTATAGACAGGCGTCCACAGGCAGCTCTGTGCTGCTGGAGACGCTGCAGTTCACGTACAGACCCTGCACTGTCCCTCCCCCACTAGCAGAGTGCAACCTGCGCTTCAAGATAACGGTAACTTTTAAACTTCAAAGCATCTTTTAACTGTTTGACTGCTGAAATATTGTCAAACACTTTGAAAATGGAAACACGTTGCTCTATAACTGTTATGTGGTTGCAACTATATAGCTAAGCAAGTTTGTGGGTCCAAATGGAAAACGCGAATGACTCGTCTATAAAACTGCTTGCTTGCCATTGTATTTAGGGAGCTGCAAATAGCTGTAGGCTATCCGTTCAGTATGCATTAGGGCTGTCAATGAATATTCTAAATACGAATATATATTCGAATAGTTTTAAAAAACTGAATTTTGAAGGTGAAAATTAATATTCGAATGTGGAAAAACACGCCCGCGGCAGCAGACTAACGTTACCACAGCACAGCTCGCTCGGAGCGCTCAGTGTCGGTTCTATGTACTGTGAAACTTCAATTAATGTATTTGTTTCAATCACTGAATGAAGCCTGCTATATACCTTAAATTGCTTGCACAAAACTCTTGATCAGCACTCAACATTTGTTTGTTGTTGTTCATTTAAACCGGTATGCGCGGAGAGCGTGAGGGTGAGTGCGAGAGAGAGAGAGAGAGTGCGCCTGCGAGTCCGGGCGAGCCAGAGTGAGCTCTGCGGTTTTGGCCATTAGTTGATTTACTCGTTTTTTTTTTGTAGTAATACGTTGTCAAATATGTTTAAACTCAAATAAGCTACTTAATACTAGTAGTTATGTCTCTTTGTATTAATTTGTCCTGTTATTGACGTAATGCGCGTCATTGACCAAATGCACGACGATATGTTCAAATATATTTTTTAGAGGGAATATACAAACGCCATTTGAACAATTTTGACAGCCCTATTATGCGTACGGTAGCTGTTACGAACACTGGTCATAGGATTAAGTAATACCAACGTTGTTCCGTGCTTTTTGTGGGAGATTTATTCAGCGACCACCTGGCTGAGGTTTGGACGCGTGTGGTGTGTGTCTCCCTCGCCATCGCAGTGATATTAGAGACTAGACATGCTCATTTTATTTTATGTAGAAAAATTTAAACCATGGCAGTAAATAGTTCGTTACTTTTAAAATGAAGTACAGTGTGCACTGTGCACTTTATTATGCTGGTTGCTACTGTGTGCAATAGTGTAATTATTTTATTTATGCTTAAATATATATTTTCAGCAGTGAACTTTTTTTTGTTCTACCTCATGTTTTTAATATTTGTTAAATATTGTTTATCTACTTGTTCTTGTTCTACCTCACATGTTTTTACTATTTGTTAAATATTTATTTTTTTACGTTAAATAAATGTTACTTTTATTAAATTGAGACCTGTAACATTTGTTAACATCATGTCATTTTTATGATGTAAATTGAGGGAACAAAATGTATCGGCTCCAAATATTGGCTCAAGAAAATCGGCAGCCCGTATCGGTCATCGGCTAAGGCTGATGGGAAAAAAATCGGTATGGGTATCGGCACTAAAAAATCCATATCGGTCGATCCCTAATATAAATATGACTATCAAATGATGAGGATAATAATAATTATTATTAATTAATTAAATTGTATTAACCAAAATAAGATATATATATATATATATATATATATATATATATATATATTTATATTGTAATAATATTACTTCATTGTACACATTGAGTATTTAATAATAATAATAATTTTATTTTCAGTACAACTGTAAAAACACAATACTAATATTTGTCTTAATTTCTTCAATTTCTTTTTCCTTTTCAGTATGACTAAAAAAAACATTATTATCATTAGAAAAAGAAATCCATTTAATAATACTACTTCACTGTACACAAATTGAGTATTTATTAATAATAATATTACAATAATTACAACTGTAATATTGTCTTCATCTCTTTTTTTATTTCTTCATTTTCTGCAGAAACAAAAAATACTTTGTTGGCTACAGGTTTATAAACGATTCTTATTACAAATCTGTTGAAGCTAGAGATGCACCAATTTGATCGGCTGGTGACCGGAATCGGCCGATTTTCACGTGATCAGCCATGATCGGCGACCAGCCGGTCAGTCTGACATAATCCGATTTCATGCCGGTCAAATGCACTCGGGCGCCGCATGATTAACATCGCGCAACATCAGCATCACACGTGCACACGGAACGCACATGTAGGAAACCTCGTGAATTACGGCCGTTTTTTTTTTTTATGTTTTTTTTTATGCATTTTTTTTTAATGCATGTTAATCAATGAGTGCATTCACACCGGGAGCATGAGCGTCATCAGCTCATGAGCGTCCAGCAGGAGCGTCGCGTGAGCAGCAGTGAAGCGCGGGTTTCGGCGCCGAGTCTATTTTTGCTGCGCTCAATTTAAGTGAAAGCACACTTTTGATGGACAAAATAAATATGATTTCATCCAAAAAGTGCCCAAAATGCACAGAATTTGCATGTCTGGTGTGTTTTAACAAGAACTGAAGTAGGCTAGGCTATGTCAGAAAAGAAAATGAAGACTCAAAAATATTTATAGAAAATTTACCATTTAAACTTGTTTTTATTATTTCCCAATCGTTTCCCTGCACATGCTCTACTTGTCCTGTTTAGCCTGGCTGGACATGTGTCAGATGAGAGAAGAACTGTTTGAGAAATATAACTTGCCATTGATTGCAATAGGCGTGTGTGTGTGTGTGTGTGTGTGTGTGTGTGTGTGTGTGTGTGTGTGTGTGTGTGTGTGTGTGTGTGTGTGTGTGTGTGTGTGTGTGTGTGTGTGTGTGTGTGTGTGTGTGTGTGTGTGTGTGTGTGTGTGTGTGTGTGTGTGTGTGTGTGTGTGTGTGTGTGTGTGTGTGTGTGAGAAATATCTTTATACTGCAAGGCTATATTTATTTTATTTTTATTTGTTATTATTTATATATTATTTTATTGCCATTACCTGTTTTCATACAGAAGTTTAGTTTGCTAAATATATCACATTTTTTTTAGTTGGATATTGGATGTGAAAAAGAAATGGTTCTTCCATAGCACTTCACTTTAAATGTGTGTGAATTTCCCACACCAGTAATTTATATAGTTCTGTTTTATAACGATTATCTGTTCAAAAAAATTTCTATGCAAAATGTTCTATTAAAGAGAAGATAGAAAATAAATATTTGTGTGTGCTGTAAGGTGGTTTGAAAAAAAGAAATCGTAATCGGCTAAAATCGGTATCGGCAGGTCAAACTCAAGGAAAAATCGGAAATCGGATCGGCCTAGAAAATTGTAATCGGTGTATCTCTAGTTGAAGCTCTTTACTGAAGTCTCACACTCTATATTTATTAATCACAGCATTTGCAGTTTGATAATCGCATGGCCCTATCACGATTTCGATTTTATTTAGATTAATTGTTCAGCCTTAGCGTCTTCACTCTGATAATATCTGCTGGTAAAACTTTTACAAACATTCTTTAGCAAATTGTCAAAATTGCACTGTTTTCTTTAGATTGATGATTACAGTATGGTTCGATTCCTGCCCTTTGATCGCACTGATGAGGAGGGCATCAACATTGTCCTGCAGCACATTGATTTCTCCATACAGTATGGTGAAGACCTGGAGTTTAAAGAGCCCAAGGTTTGCGCATAAGGCTACTTTCAACTACTGTATACATTTATAAAAAACTGTTTATTTATTTATTTATTTTTATTAAAAGTTCTTTTAGATCAAATTACAACACAATTATAAATTTAAACATTAAACTGATCCATTTTTTTCTCTTTTCTCTAGGAATTGAATGAGGAACCCAGTAACACGAATTTTGATGAGTTCTTCCAAGGCACAGCAGATTCTTGAATTCCCACATGAAGCCAGACTACATTTATGTGTTCCACTAATTAAGAGTTTCATTTATTTAAACAATATTCTGTCATGTTCATGATATCATTGGTTGGAGGGTGCAACCGAAAACTGTGCTGTGTCTCAATCTTCTTAGCAGAGTTTTATAAAATGTAATCAGTTTTTTAGAATTGTCTATTTATTTTTGCAATAAAAATAGGGAAATGACAATGTGGTTTTAATTTTATTTTAATTCAGTCCCTTACATATGTCTCAAAACGTTACAACCTTAGGGAAACGTTAAGGGAGACGTACCCTATGCTGAAGAGTGGTTTATCATTATGTGTTGTTCAATAGTGGGATGTTAACCTTTTATATTTGGCCATCCAGTCTTGATTACATCCTTGTTAAAAACATAATGCACTTATGTTGTCTAGAGATAAGCAGCTCGCTAGGTTTTGACTGCCGTGACGTCAAAATGGGTTGGACATCTTTTAATGGCACACATATTTAAGATTTTCGAAGAAATTTTGTGGTGGAAAGAAGTGAAGCTGCAAAGCTGTAGGAGGTATGAGAGAAAATAATAGGAATAAAAGGGAAGAGGACATTATTTCAAGAATGAGATTTGGGCATACTGGATTGAATAGTACGCTTACATTAATAGGGAAACATGAAAACGGGATGTGTGAGGTCTGTAATATTAATGAAATAGTAGAACATGTTATTATAAATTGTCATAAGTATAAGGAGGAAAGGATGAGGCTGAAAAACTGGTTTAGAAAAGAAAAAATTAGATTTGAAATGAAGGAAATATTACAAATGAATTCAGGACATGTAGGGTATAGAGCGATATTTGTGTTTTTGAGTAAAACAGGGCTTAGTAGAAGAATATGAGTTGAGTTGTCTTAGAAAGTTGTATTTAATAATAATGATCATGTATGAATATTAATAATGTTATTAAATATTTATGAAGTTATTTATTGGTTTTATTATGGATGTATGTATTTATTTATATATTTATTTAAAGGTAGTGAGGAAAGGCTATTGTGATCCACACTCCATATCAGAAGGTGGCGGTAATGCACACTTAAAAGTTGTTTGCCAACCGCCATTAAAAGAAAGAAGAAGAAGCTGCAAAGCTGCTGTTATTCGGCGCTCCCTAGTGGTTATGGCGGGATACTGCACTGGAAACTTCCTGTATCTGTGTAGGGTGGGACAGCGGAAGCGGCGGGTTTGCACAGCTCTGACATTTTAATTTTTGCCTGCTAGGTTTGGGACATATCGTACCAAAATGCCGGTAAGAAGTTATTTAAACGTTATGATTTAAACGATGTGCGCAATTGTTTGCGTTGTGAGCAGCTGCTGTACCACGTTTTAGAGCTGGAGCAAACACGAAAGATATTTTAGCATTATTATTAGCCACATCGCTAACATACACATCATCTTACTCTGGCCATTTTTCTACAAATGTAACAGTTTTACAAAGACATTATGTTTTGGTCTTTATGCTTTATTGCCCGCCACTATACATGTATATGGAAGTATCAGAAATATGTTGCGGAAACAGGTTTGTTGCATTTGTTCATGATGAAAACAACTGGATTTCCTCGTTTGCATTCAGTGCAATGAAAACTGACTGATTCTCTTCAAATATCGGTTATTTAAAATTAAAAATATTTATAAAATTTGCTATATTACAGAAATAATTATGTTTGACTTTGATTTTCTCCCTTTCTTCAGGCTTACCACTCAAGCCTGATGGACACGGACACCAAACTGGTGGGGAATATGGCGTTATTGCCCCTTAAAACACAGTTTAAGGGTCCTGCTCCTAAAGAAAGTAAGGAAGTTCGCTTGATTCTAAGCAGTAGCTGCTACTGTGAGATCTGAGATGTGTGAGATTCTTCCTTAAATGGCCATCATTAGTAAAGCGTATTTGACAAATCAGCTGTTCCTTCCTCTTTCCAAATTCAGCCAAAGACACAGATACTATCGATGAGGCCATCTACTACTTCAAAGCCAATGTTTTCTTCAAGAACTATGAAATTAAGGTAAGGAGTGAATGTCTGTACAGGAGCTTAGAAAAATGTACTTGGCGTGCCTTGACACGAATTCATAGTTCTGTCCTGAGAGAAGAATAAAAGTCCTCTTGTATACGCATATTTTTGCGTCTTTACCTCAAACACTCTTTATCTGTTTAATATTAGATTTTAATTCGTTTTTTTTATTTTTTTTTTTTTTTTTAGACTCTTACATGCACTTTACAATTGGCATGAAATGGAAGTTGCAATAGTCTTTACTTCCCTGTTGTGGCGTATATCTGAGTGTAACTGCTTCTCGGGGAAGAATTTAGGGCGGGATTTGATTTTGTCCATCGGGAATTGATTGTATGATTATGGTTTGCTATTGGTGATGTCATGTGAGTGACAGGTTGTCCCGCCCTCGCGCCGGTAAATACGTCATCAGAGAAAAGAGGTCACTGCAAAAAGGAGGCGAAGTTATTTTGATGAAAGATTACGAGTGCATGTATTTAAAAAGAAAAAAAGAATGGTCTGCACAGATAAATAATTTAAAACAAACACTGAATTGAATTTGTTTTATAATTCATGAACTTTGCAACATTGACACTGTTATTGAACTGAATAATGACACTATGTCTTCTGTAGAGCTGTTTTATATCTGAAATTGAATGTTTCATAATTGATGTACTACAACTGTACTTATTTTCCTGTTTATTACTGTGAAGCTTCTTTGACAATATCTGTTTTGCATAAAGTGGCTTATATGCAGTATATAAAAAGATAAAATATTTCTTTCTTTAATTTTGATAGAATGAGGCTGATCGGACTTTGATCTACATCACTCTTTACATCTCTGAGTGCCTCAAGAAGCTCCAAAAGGTAACTATTGAAAAATATATATATATATACACCTACTATTTCATGGTATAATCCAAATGTTCAGTGATTAATCGAATTGTTGGTTTTTCTCATAGCTAATGCTTCATAAGTATTTAACTACAATCTTATAAATGATTTCTAGTGCAGTTCAAGGGGTCAAGGAGAGAAGGAGATGTACACGTTGGGAATTACCAATTTTCCCATCCCTGGAGAACCTGGCTTCCCTCTGAATGCAATGTATGCTAAACCTTCCAACAAACAGGAGGAAGGTATGGCACAACAAAGTCAAAACTTTACTGAGTCTGATTCATTTGCACATCCACTAAGACCTTCTCTGTGATAGGTTTATTATAAGTGTTATCGCCGAATTGATCTAGATACCATCTTTTCCCCCTGGACAGAAACGATGAGGGCTTACCTGCAGCAAATCCGACAGGAAACGGGACTGAGGTTGTGTGACCGTGTGTTCGACCCTCAGACAGACAAACCAAGCAAGGTGAGACTATATTTAATATTATCACTATAAGTCAAACCAAGTAATAAAAAAACTTTTTTTTTTCCTTTGCATTATGACAACTATTTGAATTATAATTAAGCACATTTTTTCTTGTTACTGTAATTCAAAAATAAAGAAATATGTATGTTATATAAAATATTTTATATATTCACCTATATATACTTTATCTATTAATTTATCCATTTTCTTGGATGTTTAAAATTCATGTTATTTGACTAATTTCTAATCAAGTGATGCTGATAATCATTCAAATGTCTTTGGTCTTCAGTGGTGGGTGTGCTTTGTGAAGAAACAGTTCATGAACAAAAGTCTGTCTGCACCTGGCCAGTAACAAACCACTCAGGATCTCTCTGGGTACTTCTGCGTGGGATGTGGATGGATTTGTTTTTTTCTTTAATGTCTATGCGAGCGTGTTTACTCTGATTCTGTTGGAGATTTTTTTACTTGTGATTCCTGCCTGTCATGGAAAGCAGGAGCCGATCAAATAAAAATATATTAAAGAGAAACAGCATCTCTCGTCATTGAATGAGGACGTACTAATAATACACTTGGTGCCAGACTGCCAGTGTTATTTTTTTAGTAATATTTACATCAGTATTAGTGATATATTATTATATATTATAGTAGTGCTGTCAAATCGATTAATCGCATCCAACAAAAGTTTATATATATATATATATATATATATATACATACACACACATATAGTTCCAAACATTTCCACATAGCCATTGCACGCCTACAGCAGCAACACAGCAATGTTTTGTTACTGAATGAATCTGCATTTTTGGATGAAACGGTCTAATGAATGACTTAACTTATTATAGTATTTATTAATATTTCAAATTACCTTCTATTTGAGCTCATTTGTTTTTAGCACTTTTGTTATGTGCTTTTGTCATTTTTATATTACTATAGTTTTAACTTTTCAATTCAGTTTTAATCATTATAGTACTTAAAATTATCAGTTGCCAAGGCAACATTTAATTTCTGTTCAAGTTTTCATCAAATATTTATATTTTATTTCAATTAACAATTTTTATTTTAGTAATATATTTTTTTAGTTTTCATTTAGTCATTTTTATTAGTTTATTTTAATTTCATTTTAGTTTTACATTTATTTCATTTTAGTACTTCAACTTAAATTTATTCCAGTTGTCAAGATATATTTCTGTCTTTCCATCTAATATTTTATTTTATTTAAAATGTATTAGTGAAAATTACTTGTAATAGTTTTAGTTAACAAAAACAACACTGCTTGATATGTAGTGAGTTCATAATAATGCTTTTATTTATCTGAACTTAAAGAACAAAATTATTGCTCCAGAAAGAAATGACATTCATATAGTGCTCAAAAAAATATGCCACCAAGGACCATATAAACTGGAGTAAAGCTGTGGCGTTTCACACCACTGATTCAAATCAAAATGTGACCGAGACCAACTGAAAATGTAACTCTTATTGCTTAATATTGTTTTCTGTCTTTTGAATAAGAAAATTACATTTGCATTAGTACACAAAACCAAACTAATCTCACTCTGATAAGATGTTGCCAAGAATCTTATGCCCCCTTAAAAGTTATTGAGGTAACTGCTTTTTACACGACTGACATAAGACATAAACAACAGGAACAAAGGTAAAACTGAGAATAAAACTAAAGGACAAACAGTAGATATGTAAGACAAATGCTACATTTTAATGAGCAATTACATGATGGGGCCTTCGGGAACAGAAGAGTGAACAGGATACAGTCATAAATGAGGTTACAAAACTACATGTGTGGGGACATCACAAAACACATATGACTGATAGAGCTATGGTACAATACATCATATTTACATACACAAAAAATACAGCTTTTGAGCTCACCATTTATACAAAAAATATTCTCTGTCTCATGCAAATATGTAACTTTTTGGTTTGTCCAAAAGAGGATTCCAGCTCAAATACTGAATAGACGTTGAGACGGACTTGACATCACTGAATACAATTTTCCTTTTTGATAGGAGAACAACTTAAGGCAGCAGAGAAAGAGATGGCCCTTTGAGAGACATCTGCGGTATTGTTTTTTTAAGGGAACAGGGCTGTCCCGACATGTCAGTGAGAAGGGAAATCAGCATCGATTCTGACCGTCAGCCTCTACTAGTACCATAAACGCACAAAACACGCCAGAATTGCATAAAAGACTGTTCAAAATTGATGGCTCAGTGGCAGATAAAAAAGCGAGTCAAAACACAAGTGTCATGCAGTACATTTCATCATAATTAAGATAATAAATAATTCAGACACACTACTAGAGGGTGGGGGGGGGAAAATCGACATTAACAAAACGTGCTATAACTCACACATTCAGATAAAAATAAAAAACGAATTATCCAACGGTGGCTTTGCTCTGATATCCCTAACTGGTGCTACCCCAAATAACTGGTGAATAAAATAAAGGTGATCGGATCCCCTATTAAGGTTTGTAATTGCCATATCTAGGGGGGCTGGTTAGAATTCAATTTATGTGAATGACGCATTGTGATGAAAAATGTGATCCAACACATCAGTTAAACCTATTAAATTGATATGAGCTTGTAATGGGTTTTTAAAATCAATGCAGAAATAAATCCTGAAAAGTCTGTCTCTGACCTCAAGATATGGAGATGGGAACTGATAATAATATATGTACTAACAAAAGTAACCGTGATGGGGCGTCTAGTCGAATGCCATCTCTTGGCTTTTCCTCACGCAGCGGGCGACTTTCCTCTTGAACTCACCGTTGGGATCCTCTCTCCATTCTTTCTGCAAGCCGAACACAAATGTGTAAGTTTTAATTATTGCTTCAGAAGAACAAAAACATGAACCGCTCATTTTACTTCGAGTGACATTTCAGAGTGAAAACTAGATAGAATTTATTGAATTTATCCACTGGCATTTTCAGTCAGGACGAGGAATCTTAATTGGGAATGCTTCTTTTTCAAATCCATCCTTTTGTGCTATTAAAGGGATAGTTCAAAATGAAAATTGTGTCATCACTTACCCTCAAGTTGTTTCAAACCTGTATGAGTTTATTTCAAAGAATATTGGTAATCAAACTGTTGACGGTGGCCATTGACTTCCATAGTTGGGGAAAAAATACTAAGGAAGTCAATGGGTGGCGTCAACTGTCTGGTTAGCACATTCTTTAAAATAACTTCTTTTGTGTTCAACAGAAAAATCTGATACAGGTTTGGAACAACTGATGACGAAATGTTCCTTTTTGGGTGAACCACACCTCTAATGCTGTATCCATTATTACATTTGTGATAAATTTGTGTTAATGTATTATCTATTTGCCATTTTAGAAACCTACAACAAAATCTGATAAAGAAAGTCATGTTAATACTTTAAAACATTAGTTAACATGAACTAACCATGAACACTGCTTCTCCATTTATTATTGTTGATAAAAAGTTTAAATGACCATAATTCAAAATTGTCAATTCTTATTTTGTACAGAATTTTTTTTTTTTATATAAAATATTATCACAATTTCAGTTTCATGCAGTGGTGGACAGTAACAAAGTATTCCTACTTTGTTACTGTACATAAGTTAATTTTTCAAGTATCTGTACTACTTAATCAGAGTATTTTGATTTTTGGGAAACTTATACTTCACTATATTCCAAAGCATAAAATAATACTTTTTACTAGGTTCCATAAAAACACAGTTCCTCCTTATTACAAACTGAAGAAATCACCACCTCCTCTGAGACACAAGAACGATGTTAGATTCATGAACGAGTTAATTCTTTCCAATGATCGTGATGAATTGGTTCACAAATAACACTGAACAATTCATTTGTGAATCGGACTGATCCAATTGCAGCTGTTCTTGAGCCAACAAATCACTGATTCAATTATCCAGTAAAAAAAAAAGAGCCACGCTTGAAATGTGCGTGCAACTGATGGTGCGAAAAGAATAAATACGACCTCATGTTTTGTCAATCACATTAACACACTGCCTCCGAAAATTTCATCCGTCATAATTTTTTTTTGGATCAGGTTAGATTTTCTGCGTTTTTCGCATCCGTAGCAAGCATTTTGAATGGTGTTTTGACAATTCAGAGCCACCGAATGACGCAAACGGAAATTTCGGACTCAGTGTGCAAGGACCTTTAAGCCTAGTCTCATGTCATGTTTGAGCTGTTTTAACTGCTATTAGCATCCATTTCTGCTATTTGTTTTTTTTAAATCACTTTAAAAAAGCAAGTAATTTCACAATTTTATGCATAAAAGGCTGAGCAAGTTAATACATTTTCATGAAATGTGAATAATTTTGATTAAAGACAAACCATTTTTCCCTCTAGAATAATGTACTGTGATGAATTGCATAATAATACCAGTAATGTTTATAATATCAAGGAAGTAAAAAGGGTACATTTTGATTTCATGGTGACTGCTATCAGTTATCATCAAAAATCACTAAACTTACAGCTGCGTCCACATTGGCTGGCGAGTCACCGTTAGGGTCAGCTAACATGGAGATCACACTAATCATGATGGTCTCTACGGTGTGGATGGGCAGCCAACGCTCCTCGGGTTTCTCATAGCCAAATTTGTCCTCTCCTGGCTCATGTAGGATTGAAATGCACACATCTCCGTTCTTCGCAACTGATTAGAGATGAAGAATAATATCAGTGTCAGCCGGTACAGGTGTTTTCACCAAAACTGACATGCACTCACCATTAGGATGCCAAATCTCCGTAATAAACTTCATCTTGGGTGGTCGAAGTGGGTAATCGTGAGGGAAATTGAGATGCGCCTTAAAAAATCCACCTTCGCTATAAATCAAAAACAGAAAAACTCAGTATATGGTTTTGTTGGAAAAGATTTAAGCTTTGCAGGAGATTAGACTAGTCAACTGGCCACTCTCACAGCTAAACCCAAGCGCCACATGGCTGGTAACAGGATTGATTACTTACAATAATGTGTCTTGAGGGCCGATCACAACAACCTCCCACTGATAGATATCATCATCATCAATCAGACCAGCAGAAAAACCTTCCACTGGGTTTTTGTTGAGCTCTGTAAGATATCGGCCAATATTGGATATTAGATTACATTTTCAGTCATCTAATGCTGACTTAAAGTTAACCTTTAAGAACACTAATAATCTTGCAACTGTCATAATGTCTAGTTTTCATACTGTACCTTAGTAATGTTGTAATCACTTGAAGCATTAAAAACGATTGATTTTAATATGTAGGATTGTAAAGATTGATCTAAATATCAAAATGTACTAATATACATGTAATTGTATTTAATAAGACCAAAACCTAAATGTGTTGGTATCGTTTCCTACTTGGCAGGCCAATAATTTGTATACTGCATACTAACACGTGTCAACTTATACGACTATATGCTACAACTTAATGTTTTACCACCCATTACGATCCTTTTAAAAAATATAAAATTCCATGTTTACAACTAGATTATTTTCTTAAATAGCAGGGTATAAGCTTTGTGATCAACCTCACCAACTTATTCAGCTAGCATGCTAGCCAAACCTTCTGCCCTTATTACTTCACAAGTAGAAATACGAAGCCCATAAGCTCTTACACAAACACTGTCACAGTGGTTTCCGTTAAACACTGTGTAATTTTGTTTAAAAAGTACAGATAGTGTGGATAAGAAATAGTTAGAATGACATAATGAAGATGACTTGTACTATTCACGCTAACAGTTAGCCACCTACCTGCTAGCTGTTTTCGCAGAAGCAGGGCCGATTGCTCAGTCATTTTATTTCAACTAATGTTAACAAAATAAATAGTTTCTCCAACGAAAAAAGGACGAGGTAAAGTCGCCGAAATCAAAGTTGTTAGACACGCAGCTCTTGGACAGTGTGTGTGTATTTGAGATCTACTTCACATGAGCCCGCGCCGGGAACTGAACTGATACATGTTATACTGGCACTGACCTCAAGGATGTGTGTCATTAGGTAGCTGCTTACTACAGCAGTTTTAGGCATCTCTTCTGAGTTATCATGGCAAAAAATGCTGCAGCACCCATGACGCCCAAAATCGCTGTCTAAGGTAGCTCACTAGGTTTTAAGACACAGCCAAAGCAAAAGGGTCCTAACAGACACACTTTTGTTGATTATTCTGCTGAAAATATGTGATATATTTTCTAAACAGAAACCGATCTATCACGAATGTCGAATGTTTTGATTTTAACAATAGCCTTAACTGATTTTTTTTGCTTATTTATTAATATTTTGTTGTAGTGGCAGTCCATATGAGGTGTACATCCTCAGTCCAAAATTAAAAGTTATTTTAAAGTAGTTTTCTTTATAGGATTTTAAACATTATACAGAATAAAAATCTCTGTTAATAAAATGCATTGCACTCAAATAAAATGCTTCTCTAAATAATGTTTTAAAGGTTTTAATTTCTTAACTTTTAAATGTTTTTGATTTCCTTTTAAGATGTCGACTATAGGCCAAAGTGAGCAGTGTTGTTATTGTTTTCGGTAATTATAATACATTTGACAGTCTATGATAAATAGACTACCTATGATAATTATTATATTTATAAAAGTTGTGTATTATATCATATCATATTATTATCAAATGTTTTTTCATTTATTTATTGTATGAAAAAATGCTTAGAAAAAGGGAAAATATACTGGTAATTTTCTGCAAGTAGGCCTACATTATCTTTATTATCATTATTATTACGAACATTTCCTTTAACACTCAATCACAACGCAATGCAGGTTTTGTTTTTGTTTTACAGATTTTTTTTACAGATTTTGACTCTTTGACTCAGATTTAGAGTCTATAGATGTCTGTACGGTACAGACCTGAAGTGTAGCTAGTGCAATTACAAATAAAATACGCTAGATGCCAGTGTCCGCTTACATGAAATTTCTCCTAAAACGTTTCTTTATGTAAGAAAGTAACACTTAGTAAAAGACATTTTGTGGTTTAGTTTGGCTGGAATTTAGTTACTAATAATTAATAAAGTTATAATATGTGCTTATTCATTTGATCAAATGATTAATATGTCAAAACCAAGCTTTAACTTCAGATCAGCCTGAATCCAGTAAATCTGAGTGGATTCACAAAGCCTGCCCATCCTGTATCTTGAGAGCTTTACAATCCTCCTGACATGCCAGAATCTTACATTTGCTTTTTTACAGAACCATAAAAGGCAAACATTTGGCTTCCAGCCCAGGGACTGATACCAAACATAGACTGGATATGGGAAAGAGATGTTAGCAATACAGTACATTCCACATCCGTGAAACTCAAACAAGAGGATGGTTTCCTGAATAAACAACCATGCTCAGGTAACAAAAGGCGACTTTGTGTATTCTTCCTGCCGTGTCTTCTCAGATGACACACACTTTGAGGAACAGTTTGCCTCAGATCTGTGTCGCACTTCACTAAAGATTTGTCATGTGCCTTATCTTTTGTTGATATGTTACTTTAGCATGCAAATGTCACCCCACTGTATTAAAAGACGGTAGGCTACACTGAACACAGCGTAATCTATTCTATACGGAAATATCTGACTCTTCTCATGAACTGTGGGATGCCTTATTACTGGTTCAAACAATCCATCTCATCTTTCACACCCAACAATTGAAGCCACTTAGAAAAATGCTAAACATTTTAAGATACTTGTAGCTAATTGGAACCTGTTACAGTCAGATATAAATTCATAAAGTGCATCTACAGGTTGGGCCAAACAGCTTGACATTCATTGCACAGCATTGAGATGCTGACTGAGTTGTTCTTTCTTTCTCAAGCCTGCTGCAATTAATATGTCAGTCAAGAGGTGTGTGATAAATGGGCTATTACTGGCTCAGATGACCTTTCAGTGAATGGAATTATGAAACAAAACGGAACATATTTTGTTTTATCCTTTATAAAGCTTAATGTGGATGTTATTGTAGCAGTTAATGTTCACAGTTTAGATTCACAGGTTGCATAACTGTTAGGGAATCAAAACCTGAGCATCCTGGTTTCTACAACCTTTTGATTTTCATTATTTTTCTGGTCGTTTATGATTTCTGCATAAATAATTTTTAATCATTTTAGATAACATTCCATGCCATGAAATTATGAACATAACTACAACAATCACAAAATTACATTTTTAGGCTTGAAAATCACAATTTTAAAAGTCCCTAAAATTATAATATAATAATACAGATAATATAATTTATATTTTGATCTAATATAATTAGTGCTGTCAAATCAATTATTCACAATTAATCGCATCTAACATAAAAGTTTTTGTTTATATAATTTGTGTTTGTGTGTGTGTGTGTGTGTATATACAGTATATATATTATGTATACATACAGTATATGTGTGTACACCTGCACACACACATACACTCACCTAAAGGATTATTAGGAACACCATACTAATACTGTGTTTGACCCCCTTTCGCCTTCAGAACTGCCTTAATTCTACGTGGCATTGATTCAACAAAGGTGCTGTAAGCATTCTTTAGAAATGTTGGCCCATATTGGTAGGATAGCATCTTGCAGTTGATGGAGATTTGTGGGATGCACATCCAGGGCACGAAGCTCCCGTTCCACCACATCCCAAAGATGCTCTATTGGGTTGAGATCTGGTGACTGTGGGGGCCATTTTAGTACAGTGAACTCATTGCCATGTTCAAGAAACCAATTTGAAATGATTCGAGCTTTGTGACATGGTGCATTATCCTGCTGGAAGTAGCCATCAGAGGATGGGTAAATGGTGGCCATAAAGGGATGGACATGGTCAGAAAAAATGCTCAGGTAGGCCGTGGCATTTAAACGATGCCCAATTGGCACTAAGGGGCCTAAAGTGTGCCAAGAAAACATCCCCTACACCATTACACCACCACCACCAGCCTGCACAGTGGGAACAAGGCATGATGGATCCATGTTCTCATTGGGTTTACGCCAAATTCTGACTCTACCATCTGAATGTCTCAACATAAATCGAGACTCATCAGACCAGGCAACATTTTTCCAGTCTTCAACTGTCCAATTTTGGTGAGCTCTTGCAAATTGTAGCCTCTTTTTCCTATTTGTAGTGGAGATGAGTGGTACCCGGTGGGGTCTTCTGCTGTTGTAGCCCATCCGCCTCAAGGTTGTGCGTGTTGTGGCTTCACAAATGCTTTGCTGCATACCTCGGTTGTAACGAGTGGTTATTTCAGTCAAATTTGCTCTTCTATCAGCTTGAATCAGTCGGCCCATTCTCCTCTGACCTCTAGCATCAACAAGGCATTTTCAAGGCTGGATGTTTTTCCCTTTTCACACCATTCTTTGTAAACCCTAGAAATGGTTGTGCGTGAAAATCCCAGTAACTGAGCAGATTGTGAAATACTCAGACCGGCCCGTCTAGCACCAACAACCATGCCACGCTCAAAATTGCTTAAATCACCTTTCTTTCCCATTCTGACATTCAGTTTGGAGTTCAGGAGATTGTCTTGACCAGGACCACACCCCTAAATGCATTGAAGCAACTGCCATGTGATTGGTTGATTAGACAATTGCATTAATGAGAAATTGAACAGGTGTTCCTAATAATCCTTTAGGTGAGTGTATATGATATAAACTAAAACTTTTATGTTAGATGTGATTAATCTTGATGAATCGATTTGACAGCAGCAAATATAATATTATAATACATTTTAAATGCAGAATAATAAAGAATAAATCAGTACTGATTTGAGGTTAAAGTTTTATAATAGTGTCATTCAAGGAAAATCACCTTCCATTGCAACTGTCAGAGACCTCGACAGATGGGATGTGAATCTGAGCTGTAAGATGCCTTTTCATTTATTTTTTTGGATATTTCTGTTTCCATGAGCCAAATCGACTTTTATGGAACCATAGGACATCGGTGTACAGAAATGTTTTTTTTTTGTGCATTTACCCATAAGTGATCAAAAGAACTTTCAGAGCTGGAACATTAGTGAATGTTTATTGCAACTTTATATTCCAGATAGACATTTGACAATGAGATCGACTTATAAACAAGCAAACATGGAAACATCACACATCTCCATGGCAACCCAGCTTTGGCAAAAACTAATTTAGCTGTTTATCGTTTTATCTGAGCCTGTAGGGTTGCAAAATGGCTGCAGACCCAGGGTCCAAGTTAATCTTATGACGTTGTTTCATTCCTCATTTTCATCAGTGAGACAGTGTGCAGTGAGTGGCCTTATCTTGTGTGTTCAAATATAAGCTTTTCTCCAAATGACGACTGGGTAATGGTGAAGAACAGTACAAATCCCTATATGAAGAAAATGAGTCCTCACAAGCCTGCTTTCTACATTGTCTCTTATAAGAAGGATAGCAGAAATATTTAAATTTGGCCACATGGCCAGCTGTTTAACTGTTTAATTGGTCAGACATATCTAAGAAAAATTATCTGTTTTAATTTGAAATGGGTTTAGCCACCCTGAGAAAAGAAGCGTGTCAGACACCAACATTTGAACCAGAAAACAAGGAACTGCACATAATTGTAATTTACCCATTCATCTGTTATTCTTTACATGAAAGGTTTGTGTGTGTAAAATAATTTGATATCATTTGTAACTGGGATTTTACCAATGTGGGAATACTGAAGATTCAAATTCAGGAATAACCTTTACTATTGTCTATAAAAGTTGTATAACAAATTGTCATACTTTCACTCTGGTGATTTTTTTTTTTTCTCACGGTAATTGTATTTTTGAAAGCTTGGCTATACAAAAGCCAACATTTCTATTAAAATCCTCCAGGAAAATAGATAAGTTCGTTAAAACAATTATGGGACACAAATAGTTCATGAAACAACAAACATAAAAGTTTTTTTTTTTTAAATCAACAAATATTTTAATGAAAGAATTAAAATTAGGCCTACAACACATATGACATTCAGGCAACGTTTCTCATTTTCATTAACGTAATGTACTAAAATTACTAAAGCAAAATAAAAAATACTAGGCCTAATAACAATATAAACATTTAAAATAAACAAAAACATTAACTAATAAAAATGACAAAAACACACAACACACTTATTAAACCTTCAACTAGCCTATAAAAAATAAAAAAAGATCATATAAAAATACAAATTAATTAAAAGTAGGCTATTAATAAAAAAACATTCGGTCAATCGGTCGTCAACGAATCGTTTTAGCGAATCGCGAATGACTCATCAACATTCACTCTCGCCACCTACCGGCCTAACCTACAGAAAGAGGCACTGAACGAGTCAGTGAATTCATATTTTGGTGAGTCCCTGCCTGGCATGAATCAAAACCCCTACCGTTTCTAGATTGTGCATTCTAGGAAAATGTCTTTGCTTCACTACAACACCCTTCTCATCTGGAATGACGTCGGCCAAAACGAGGAGGGTCAGCTGATCCACACACTGACGTGACGAAGAAAAGTCAAAGGAAGGAACGGGATTTCCGGAGTCCGCGCAGCCAATGAACGCATTCCACATGCGGACAGCGAGAGCTTTGCATGCGGATCAGGAGAGCGGCGGAGCAGAGACACGCGATTGGTGCTGATGGTGCTAGAGCTGCGAACACCGGCTGCGGTTTAAGGGAACGAGCCGATGATAGATCCGAAATACAATTTTGAGGTTATTTATCACATCATAAGGACACTAAGACTCCCAGCAGGCATCGAAAATTTTCAAGATCAAGAACATCCAGCGAGTTAACGATGTCTGTTGCGTAATTTTTGGTTGAATTAACCTGGGTTAGTAACTTTTCTTCTAATTAAACGCCCTAACTAAAAGTTTAAATTGCGTATCATCGCGTACTTTTGTTATCTAAAGTCACAACGGTTGTTTTTGGATCAAGTTTTTCGTGGATCCGAAGGTCTTGGAGTCAGGACTGAAGGCTTTGAAGAAGCCCGTGTTTGGGGGTTGCAAGTCCGTTTATTATCAGCGTGTCCGTCCGTCCACGATGGAGAACGCACATACAAAAACCGTGGAGGAAGTTTACAGCTTTTTCTCCGTGAACGAGAGCACTGGGCTCGGCCTGGAGCAAGCGAAGCGACAGCGGGAGAAATGGGGACCGAACGGTGAGTGAGCGAACGAACGAACGTGGCTCGGCTAATGCTAACAGAGGAGACTGGGATTGGCAGTTTACTAGTAAGCAAATAGGTTTAGGTGATTTCGCAATGTTGATCGAGTGCTAGAGGGTTGTTAGGCCTGCACAAGAGCTGGCGCACATGCGGCGATATTCATCAGCCGGCATGAGTCCGAAATGAAGGCGTGTGACGTCACTCACTGTTGCTCGCCAGCAGCGAGTATAGTCATGTTTTACACATTTGGCCAGTAACCAGTGTTGTAAATAGTTTTTTTTTATGTATTTGAGTTAAAATGCCAATATTGTCTTTTGCTGTAAAGCCTAAATGATGCAGATTATTTTTTTATTTATTAGTGCATGAACTTTCAGGATCTAATGTTACCTTTTTTCTCTCATTTCTCTCACCATGCTGTGAATCTTTGGCTGTACCACAGAATTGCCTGCGGAAGAGGGTAATCCTTTGTCATGTATTCTGTTAACGCCTCTTTTTATGCATTTCATGCCTTGGTCTTTATTATCATGTTTTCACATGCTTATTTTTTCAGGAAAATCACTGTGGGAGTTGGTGGTGGAGCAATTTGAGGATCTTTTAGTGAGGATTCTTCTACTGGCAGCTTGCATATCTTTTGTAAGTACCTCAAATCAATATTAAGTTGAATACAGTAATCGTTTAGCTTTCCTTATTATAATTTCCCCCATTTTTTTCTGGATTAGATAAAATAAGGTTACATTAGATCAGATTCAACTTTATCATTGTGCAGAGTACAATGAAGTTAGCATCTAACTAGAAGAGCAATTAGGCTAAACTTGCAATTAATATTAAAGGGATAGTTCCCTCAAAAATTAAAATGTTATCATCAGTTATTACTCTTTCTCATGTAGTTCCAAACCTGTAAGACTTTCGAAACACAAATTAAGATATTTTAATGAAATCTGAGAGATTTCTGTTCCTCCATTGACTGTCCACACAACTGCCTCTTTGTTGCTTCAAAAAGTCCGTAAAGAGATCTGTAAACTAATCCATATGAATTGAGCGGACTAGTCCAAATTTTCATCAAAATTAGGCCTCTTCAGAAAATTTGGACTAAACCGCTCAATTCAAATGGATTAGTTTTACAATCTCTTTATGACTTTTTTATAGCTTCAATGTGGTAGTTGCATAGCTGTCAATGGAGGGACAGAAAGCTCTGAGATTTCATTAAAAAGATCTTCTTTTGTGTTTGGAAGATGAACCAAAGTCTTATGGGTTTGGATTGGAATGACATGGTTTTGGCTGTCTACCACCCAGCGACATGTTATCTAAACCGGTCTGGAACAACATACGTTAGTGAACCGGAGCAACAGAATTCCCCTCACCACTTACCCAAAGTTTCCCGCTCCAGTTCCACTCCTGGTTTTCCACTGGGTCCTCACTCAAATATAATAATATAGCATATAAAAAAAATTGTAAAGTACAAATGGCAAATCTGCAAGCTAATCGTAACTGTTTTGTATATATTTAAAAAATGTGTGTAGTGTGTACATGTACATTTTGTCGTTTTGTTTTATGTAATTGATGATTTATTATTGCCTTGCAGCATAGCAATTTTGATTTACCTTAGATTTTATGATGTCTGTGGTTCAATTTACAAATTTTAAGTGTTAAATGTTAATCTCTGCATGACATTTTAAAAACTGAGATGCAGTGTGTAATGAGTACCATCCTGAAGGTGTCGAAGTGCTTTATAAATGCTCTGCGTGATATTTTGATCATGTTACAATATGCTGTCATCAGGCTACAAGGTGATGATCTACAGTGGTTCACTCAGTGGTTCATTTATGCTGTCTGGAGTCTTTAACACATGTCTGTTTGGATAATGTTTCACCGCTGGAATGGCAGGCATGGTGCAAGTCCGAGAGGGCTTAGAAAGCTCTCAACTGAGAACATGGTCCAGAGGTTAGGTTACTGCGTTGAGCCAACTTAGTCATCCACTTCCTCTGTTTGGATTTCTGGGTTTGCTGAAAAATCATTGTTTGTTGCATCAACATTGAGGATTATTATTATCAATACAGCATGCTTGTTTACATGACAACTGTGTAAAAAGAGGGGGGAAAGGACTTTTCTCTCATGCTGAGTTCACTTCTCTTATTGGCTGCTCGTTCCACAGCATCTCATCTGGCGACTAGTGTTATGTAGGGGTGTAACGGTACACAAAAATCACGGTTCGGTACGTACCTCGGTTTTAAAGTCACGGTTCGGTACGTTTTCGATACAGCAAAAAGTAAGAGAAATTTCCTATTTGTTAAAAGAAAAAATATTTTTTAAATAAGTGTGAGTTTTCCTTCATCTTGAAACTTTCAGGTTTATAAATGGGGGTCATCTTTAAAGGATGAACAAATAATGTTTTGGTCATCACATTAAAAATAACATTTAAATATATGAAGAGTTCAGATGCAAATAAAGCCATTTGAAATTTTCTTCTAGAATGATCATTTTTATCAAGCTTGTATATTTAAGTTCAGTAATTTCACTTAAATGGCAATGAAGATTACCTATTAATTGTCATTTGAGTGAAATTACTGAACTTAAATATACAAGCTTCATAAAAATTATCATTCTAGAAGAAAATTTCAAATGGCACTTAGAGGCTTTTGCATCTAAACTCTTCATATAGGCTATTTATTTATATAATATTTGAGTTTTGAAGTGCTGGAAAAAGATGTGTGAAGTACTTGAAAGCATTTCACTATTCCAGCCAAACTGGTTACAGTTAGTGTTACTATATTAAATCCATGGTGAATGTTGCTGATCTGTGGACGTAAAGTATTACTAGTTCATTCACGGCACAATGTTTCTCCTGGTGTCCACGTCAGCGCTGTTTGATCTAATAGAGATCTACGGTTAATAACGGAGAAATGCGAATGCTTCTCACTAGATCTCGCAGCGATGTTATTACTTCAATGGCGAACTCAAATGTTTTCTTTACTGGATCTCTTAGCGCTGTGTTGTAACGGTTGTAACAGTGTCGCTTGTTCGAGATCGGCTCGCGCTGCACAGATGTTGCTGCTCTGCTCCGAACTGATAAACGATCCGTGAAGCACAATAGCGCAGTTTCGTTCCGCTTTCATTACGTTTGCCATTTGATGTTGCGCAACGTTGTGGTGATCGCGCCAGCGCGAATTTTGTCGGCAGGAAAAATGGTCCAAGGAATCCTTCGGTTTGTATGCATACCGAACCAGAAGCCTCGAACCGAAACGGTTCAATACGAATACATGTACCGTTACACCCCTAGTGTTATGACATTGTCCTACTGGCAACGGGGAAGGTTGTTGCCCCTGAATTGGTCCTGTGTATTGTTTTAAGATCTGGCTTAGGTCCATTTACACCTTACTGTATATACAGGTCTAAACAAGGTCCAAAAGCTTATGCTTGATTGCCCTCCCTAACCTAGAGATGCATTAACTTGCTATTACATTCACCTTTGTTATTCCCACAAGGCAAGGGTGTTATTCAATTAGAACAGTTTATCCCATCAGGACTAAGCACAGCAACTGGAATTTACAACCACAGCTCTTTCCACAAGAGCCTTTTATAAATTAAGTCAGAATGGTTTTGAGTGGCTTCTCATTTAATGGACTGAATTTCGAGCAAGATGAAGCCATTGTGCTTTGCACCCTTTAACATTCAGAAGTCGTCATTTTACCAGAAACATTTCATCTGTGTATTCTGTTATAATTTTAATTAAGTTGCTATTAAAGACAAGTAGCACATTTGGAGTATGACCTACAGTTGTTCTATAAAGACAAAAAAAATTGTGTATGCCACAATTCAGTATATAAAAAATTAAAACTAAAAATTTTAAATGATCTTTTGAAACATTACAATAAATGGATTATTCGAAATAAAAAAAATATTTTAATTGTTATATAAATAATGTATGCGCTGTAATTCAAAAGTTTGCGATTAGTAAGATTGTTTAAAAAAACGTTCGGAAGGAAATCTTTTATGCTCAACAGGGCTGCATTGCTCAAAACTACACTAAAAACAGTAATTTTATGAAATATTATTACAAAAAAAAGTTTTCTACTTAAATGTTTATTAAAATGCAATTTAATCCTGCAGTAGTACTGCTGCTTAATATTTTGGTGGTTAGTGTAAATTTCAGAATTTGTCGATGAATAGAAAGGTCAAAAGAACAGCGTTTAGTTGAAATGGAAATATTTTGTAACATTATAAATGTTTTTGCTGTCAGTTTTGATCAATTTAGTGCCGCCTTGCTGAACAAAAACCACATGCCAAACTTTTTAATGATGGTCTATTCTATATTTATCTGTAATACAATGTATTTATTATACAAGTTTCTGCACATTTCTTCATATAAACGTGCTGGTCGTTGAACTAAATTGGGTAAATGATGTTACTAGACGCATATCTGTGATTTAGCCTAATTGATAAGAAAACAGTTTAGTCTCTGTGAACTAGCTTAGGTACGCAATGTATCACTAGAATGATGACAAATATCTGCAAAGGAAATCTGTTGTACAAGGTCAGGGATTTAATCGAACAAAATTCAAGCTTGTCCTACTCCTAGCGTACCCTCTGGAGGAAAAAAATACAGGATGTTACAGAAACAAAATATTCAGAATACTGCATGGGGAATAGAAAGCTTCTTGCCTCACTAGAATATGTGGGTTGGTGTTAAAATACTTGCTTTGGTTTTATGACTGTACATTGCTTCTGTTGGCTTGTTCGTGATGTTTGCAAAGATGAGCTTTACTATTACATTTTTGGACGGGTGTTATGATGTTCTCGAATAGGCCAGTGAGACCTCTTGTGTGGTCCAGGTGAGCTTAAGCCCATATAGTCTAGATTGATGAAAGCTGGTCTGTCTTAATTGGATCATATTACATAAAGGACTCAGTGCTTCAGCGTTCACTGGACCTTGTCTGGACAGTGTCAGCATGCCTGTAAATTCACATGGCTGGCTCGTTAAGTACTTTTTTTCTCGGTCGGTTGTGACAGCTTAGAAGCGGCATGCATTAAATAGTCATTCTTGTGCAGTTGCTGACAACACTATGTTTTGACACCTGGCTCACAGCCACAACTCCTGCCAAGATATAGAGACATGCTCTGGTACGGTGTAAAAACATGGTGCACTAAAGTGTTTATATGTTGTCTTGGAAGACTCTTCGGTGTTATTCAGTCAATTGATAAAGGCTATTTGGTCAACATGAATCCTAAATTAAGTATTTGTTTTTCCTGTTTTTCTTTTATAGGTACTGGCCTGGTTTGAAGAGGGAGAGGAGACCATTACAGCGTTTGTGGAGCCTTTTGTAATATTGCTAATTCTTATAGCCAACGCCATTGTAGGTGTCTGGCAGGTAAGTTTGGACTCCTTTTGTTTTAAGCTTTGCCTTATTTTATACTGTATTTCTGAACAACATGAACACCAAGTGGAAATACAATAGATTTTTGCATATGGGCGTGCTCTAGGTTTGCTACGATAGTTACACGGTGTTCAGTCGCAACACCGGTTTCATCACTTGCCCCACCGCGGCACTGCAAAAAAAAAAAGTTTATAGCGCTAAAATTATTTAACACAATTACGCAGTATCCGTTTTTTACTGTCACCTGTTGACTAGCGGTGTATGATCACGCTCTTATTAATGTGAATGCTTTTAACTAAAGAGGCCGTGCTGAAAGTCCTGCCTATTACACACACACACACACGACCCACAGAAAAGACGCGATTCAGTATCGAGTTCTCTTTCGGGCTTAAACAAACCATAACACACACAAATTATGCCAAAATGTCAGTTTTGTCGAGTGTCCTTATAAGAGCAGTCTTAAATGATTTTAAATCAAGTCTTAAATGAACGTAGAGATTTGTGAGAAAATGGGACGCGTGTCAGATCGCACGGCTTCTTCACGCAAAAGAAAAACTCTTTATGAAGCGCAGTGAAATTCAGCGACCTATGGCGTTTCCTGATGGATCTAGGTTGTTCGTTAACTTCATTTTATATGTGCAAATCAAGCGAGCTCTAAGCGCATGCGAGACAGCTGCGAGTAAACTTTATTAATGAAACAGGAAATCAGAGGGAATAATTTCTTTAATGTATTTTTATTTATTTTTTTACAGGTTGGCCGGTCACACAGCTTTCTTAGTTTTCAGTTACGTGACTGGTGCGGTCAGATTAGGGGTGGGCGATATCTCTATTTAAAATATATGGAGATATTTTTTAAACACGGTATGGATTTTGACATATCGTATATATCGATATATTGTTTATATTTAATTCTGATTTCGCCACTGTCCTCTCTGCGTTGTGCTCGCCCCCGCCTCATTGCTTTTGTTCCCCCTTCCCTCGCGTGTTGTCTCATTCAACATGGCGGCGCCTGCAACTAGCCCGGAGGCTACAGAACTCGTCTAAAAAAAATCATCTTAAATGCTGTCTTACATGCACTTCTTGAGGCACACACGCACACTAGCAAACACACGCAAGGTCTCTCGCTCTCTGTCCCTCTCTGCCGTGCGTGCGCTACACGGTGCTCTCTCCCTCTCTGCCGTGCGCACGGTACACGGTTTGAACATACATATTCACACAGCCTTTCGCAAAACCGGGACATTCTCTGTCCCGGGAGAGTGGATAAATTTCCCGGGACAGGTTATTAAAAAGAATGACAATCCCGGTAAAACAGGACAGGTGGCAACCCTGGCCATTGCCGTCGTTGAATTATTATTTTTGTATACAGGGATTTTTTTTTTTTAAATGTGGCAGAAGCACTTTGGACTACATGAACTGCCTACCTCTTTGCACTCCAATAAAAAAAAGACTGTGGTATTTGGCATATTTGTTTTTTTGGGGTTATTTTTCCTGTAAAGATATCGAGATATATATCGTATATCGAGATATAGCAAAATATATCGAGATATATTTTTTGCTCCATATCGCCCAGCCCTAGGTCAGATCGCATGTCAATCAAACTCCCTGCGAAGGATGAATTGACGCTAATTTAAAAGTGAAAGTGAAGTGCACACTGCCGCACCAGCTTTTTATAAGCGATGTGTAAACCCTTTTTTTTTTTTTTTTACAAATTCCTCCCGCGATGAAACCAGTATTACCGGTGTTGTCACAAATCGATTAACCGGTGGGAGAATATTGTCACCGTCACATCTCTAGCGTGCTCTGACAGATGAATTACTGACAGATTACTGAATGGCAATCTTTGAGGCCATACACTCACAACATTGTTTGAGAGCAAAACTGCTATTATACTGTTCATAAGTTTGGGGTCAGTAAGATTTCTTTTTTGTTTGGAAAGAAATTAATACTTTTATTCAGCGATGACTGTTAAGACTTTTATAGTGTTCTAAAAACAATTGGCAAATTAATGCTATTTTTATTTATACTCATCAAATAATCCTGGAAAAATGTTTATTATATATTATGATACAATATATGATGATAAGAAATGTTTCTTGAGAACCAAATCAGCATTTATTCATCTTTGCTATTACATGAATTAGATTTTAAAATATTTAAAAAATGGAAAACTATTATTTAAAATTGTTGTAACATTTTACAGTATTACTGTTTTTACTGTAGTTTGATCAAATAAATGCAGCCTTGGTGACAGTGGTGTAATTTGTGAGAAGTGTTCATAATGAGCTTTAAATCTTTACATTTACTGTCCTCCAGTACCAGCTGTTTCTGACAGCCGTTTTCCGCTGATAGTTTGCTTGTGCTTTGTAACGAATGTAGTCTTTTTCGTAAAGTGTAGTTAGCCTTGTTATGAAAATGAAAACATGTGGCCGTTTTTTTTCCGCTGCCCTTTTCTAAAGATAGTCCTGCTGTCCCAGTGGAATCCAGAATAGAGCCAAGACCCTATTTTCTCCGGCACCTCTCAGCGGCCCTGAAACCCATGTCCCAGATTTCTCTCTATCATTTTATTTTGGTCACCATTCATTACCCAGACTGCCTGAGAATCCTCAGCCTTGTCTCCTCCTATCAGTTTTCTACTACTTAAAATGGTCTTCTTAAAGGGCACAGCTGCGGCACAGTATTGAATGCCTTGGGCTATAGGTTTGCAGATAATATTAGTGTATATAAATGGAAAAAATTTATTTAAAGACCCTATGAAATCACAACCTAGTCCAGGAGTTATCTATACAATAATGTATTCTTATCATTTACAGATACATTATTTAATCATTAATACATGAATGCATTACTGTTCAAAAGGGTCAGTAGGATTTTTGTTTTTGAAATAAATTCTTTTTTTTAAGCAAGGGTACATTTAAATTGATCAGAAGTGACTGTAAACGTTGTATAATGTAACATACAATTTCCAATAATAAACTGTTCTTTTGATCTTTCTAATCATCATATAATCCTAAAAAAATGTAGCACGGTTTCCACAAAAATATTAAAAATCATAAACTGTTTTCAACACTAATAAAATAATGTTTCTTGAGCAATTGTGTTGACAAAGAAATGAAAACTGCACTCTGTGAGGCTTTCTTATATAGTTTTGGCTCACAGGTGGCCTACAAATGTTCCCATTACAATTCCTTATGGCTCATACCCACTTTTTTGGTGAATGCATCCCTAGTGGCAGGTGTGATGTAAGAGGCGAGAGGACTAATTATCCTCTGGTTCATACAGCCACTTTTTCAATCAGAGCGGAGAGTAGCAGTTGCTAGCCCAGGGCAAACTTCATTTCAGGGAGCACCGGCCCATGCACCAGCTCTAGAAGATTTACAGGCCCATTAAACATCCACGAGAAAGAACCGAGTCTGTTTCTCAGCAACCAATGCATGCGAGTATACACTACCGTTTAAATGTTGGGAGTCAGTCACATGGTTTTTTTGTTGTTGTTTAAAAAAAATGTTTTTTAAAGGTTTTTAGCAAGGATGAATTAAATTTTAAAAGTTTAAAAGTGACAGTAAAGACCTTTATAATGTTACAAAATATTTGTATTTTAAATAAATGCTGTTCTCTTCAAATTTTTATTCATTTAATATTCAATTACTTTTCGATCTCAGACGGAGGCCCCTTCTGTTTTCAGGCCCGTTTCAATTAACCCTACTGTCGGTAAAAGTTGCATCTTTATTTTCAGTAATAGCTGGGACCAAATCATAAATGATGCCAGATAGGTCATTCTAGAATCACACACAAATTCTTAATATCAAATGAAAATCCTCTGCTGTGCTTGCCACATGCCAGTGTAAAGTATCTCTTAAAGGGTTAGTTCACCCAAAAAGTAATTACCCTCATGTTGTTCCAACCCCGTAAGTCCTTCGTTCATCTTCGGAACACGAATTAAGATATTTTTGATGAAATCTGAGAGCTGGATCACTCCTCCATACTAGTCCATAGGCTTCTTCAGGGATTGAACTTGCCGGCCTCGAAAAGTTATTAAAGACATAGTTAAAATAGTCCAAGTGACTACAGTGGCTCAATCTTAAGTTTATCAAGCGACGAGAATACTTTTTGTGCGCAAAAACAAACAAAAATAACGACTTTATTTCAACTATTCATTTCCTTCTCTTTGGGCCTCTAGTCAGTTAACGTATTGTGATTCCGTAGAGCTACGTCACACGTAGGCTCACTATTGGCCGACGCTGGTCATGTGCGTGATGCGTGTGACGTACAACAACAGAAGCTTACGCTATTACACTAGTGAACTGACTCGAGGCCCACAGAGAAGGAAATGAATAGTTGAAATAAAGTCGTTATTTTTGTTGTTTTTTTGCGCACAAAAAGTATTCTCGTCGCTTGATAAACTTAATATTGAGCCACTGTAGTCACTTGGACTATTTTAACGATGTCTTTAATATATTTTCGAGGCCGGCAAGTTCACTCCCTGAAGAAGCCTATGGACTAGTATGGAGGAGTGATCCAGCTCTCAGATTTCATCAAAAATATCTTAATTCGTGTTCCGAAGATGAACGAAGGTCTTACGGGGTTGGAACAACATGAGGGTAAGTAAATACTGACAGAATTTTCATTTTTGGGTGAACTATCTCTTTAACGCTTTCCCTGCCATTGATGGAAATTTCCAGCTTTCTGTGTTTTCTCTGTTATATGGTAGGGGACACTATTAGGCATCTTCTAAAAAAGTACTGAATCTCCTGATCAAAACACAGGCGAAGAAGAAGCAGAAACGAGCGATATCATACGTTATTTTACTTATGCATCTGCTTACATGATCATCAACATTAAACCGCATATAAATCAAAAGTCAACCCAGGACGAGCTACAGGACTGTACAAGCATTAGGTGTGTTGATGAACTTGATCTACTCCATCTATGTTGTGATCATTGGTCTGAATCCGTTCTGGATGTGGTCTTTGACAAAAATGCGATTTTTCTAAGCTTTTTGCTCAATGTTGCCTTTTTTATGAGACTTGCCCACATTCAAGTGTTGATAAAAAAAAAATGCATGAAGCTAGAATAAAACGTTTTTCTTCTAGGAAATTATTTTACTCTGCAAACAGTCAACCCTGAATCCATTTTAGGTTTTATCTAAAGCAAATTTTAGAAACCTTATATAAGTTTTTAATTCGCTCTTTTATAGTTTTCAACTTGTTACTTGCAATGAAAATAGCCAAGGAAGTTGGCATTGGGTTAAAACCAACCAACATATACTGCCACTAGGGGTGTAACGATTCATTCGTTTTCTCGATGCATCGATTACAAATCCTGACGATGCATATGCATCGATCTTGAAACATGTATTTCGAATCGTGAATCGTTTATTTCGGTCAATATTCGATTTAAAATGCTAAGAATCGAATAATTTTCGATTCTATATCGATTCAGTGCTTTAAAACATATAAACATTAAATGACTACATGCGCGAATTAATGAGGCGTTGTGCGGCGTCATTTCGCGTCCTCACACACAGCTCTCACATACTCACTGCACTCTTACCATCTTTCACTGGATTTCGCTCGCGCTCGGTCCCATATAGCTCTCATCTACAGATTTTTGAGCAGTCCATGTTTGAGCTCTCCTCAGGACAGCCATTGGTGTAAACATGAGCAGATGACAGCTCTCTATCGAGAAAGCAAGCCATTGATAAAGCTGCCATATCATTGCGCGGTCACTGCTATGAAACAACGCGTTCGTTGCGTGGAAACGTCACCGTTATTTTCTTTAAGATAAGATAGGCTACTGAAGTTTTACGGAAATGGGTCATACCCGTCCTGAGCAGTTAAAGTAAAACCCCACTTATTCAAGGGTGCGCATTTATTACATGGAAAGAGAAAACGTATAGGTGTCTAAAATGCACACGCTTCCGATTAATCATGAATGATGAATGAAATGTAACTTAATGTCGTTAAACTGAACTGATGAAATAACTACAACATTAATTACACTGAAATAAGAGCGCGTGGTTTATCCATCAATCAGATGCGCATTAAAGTTGCATTCGTAATCGTTAATATAGCACAAGTAGACAGCCGGCGCGTTTTCTTTCAGAATCACAAGGACAATGTTCAGTCGGATAAAGAGAACAAAGAGTAGCTATTCCATGAGGAAACGTTAGTTAAGGTTTAGTTGGGAAAGTTCATGGTATTTTTAGTCTCACAATGGAGGATGTTTAATGTACCAGGAACACTTTAAGGTTGTGTATCCATTCCTACAAAATAGTTATCATGATGAACTAACTATACTTTTAAAGCCTTTTTAAATCTTGGTTTACATTTGTACAAATGCTAATTTATAGGCTTTGGAAATATTTTTTATAATAATAGATTCATTAAAAACTAACATGGACTAACGTTAACAATAGACAAAATGTCGTTGTTTTTTTGTTTTGTTTTTTGTTCCTACTCTCTGACCCCCGAAGGCAGCTGCATGTATAATTTACACCCTGACTAAGACCCATTGGGGGAAGCGTTTAAATAATCCTATGAATGCATATAAAAAATTAAGAATCGAATTAATCGAATCGCATCGAATTTTAATGTGAATCGCATTGAATCGAATCTTTCTGAATTTGCAAAAATCGTTCTTGAATCGAATCGAAAACCTATGAATCGTGAATCGAATCGATTCGCTGCCTACCCAAAGATTCACAGCCCTAACTGCCACATATACTTGTTTGAGCACTTACTATATGAATGAAATGCATTTCATTAATTATTGCACTAACTTTGTTTTGGCAATTGTTTTAATCTAAATCCAAGTTTTGGCAGAACACAATCTGTTGGAAATACTCCATGCTTGAAACGAGTGTGTTTTCGGGGCAGTATACTCTGCTTCAATGATGTCTGAATCCAAAGACAGAGTTAGATTGGCCTTCCTCCTTTCAGTTCTGCTCAGATTAACTGTGAAATGAATCGCAAGTTCTCAGTCTTGGGCCAAATCGTGTGACTCCATCTGACTTTCCACCCTCTCTGGTTTATTTCTCATCATAACCGTAATGCACAAGAGTAATTTCTGTCAACTTTTTCAGTTATCTAGTTATCTTATCACTGATGTACAGCACTGTGGTTGGAACAAGCATTTTGCAATGCCAAACTGTTTTAGTGAGATATACCTTGAACTCTAGCAGCAGTTAATAATGTGGCATGTGTATTTATAGCTTATTGCCTTAAATGTCTTAGCGACCATAACCCATCCCACTTCGTTTGTCTGGGTCCGGACATGAAACTGGTTTTTCGCCCTCAGGCACGCCAGTTTTGTTTGTTTGACATAAGACTTTTTGTTCCCATCATGCAAGAGAAACCACAGGAAGTACGCTGCCAAATGCTCTGCCAAGCAGGCTACCACTATTAGGAAGTGTGTCCCTTGGGATTAATCATGCTGAAAGCAAAAGGTCACTTTAAACACAACGTTTAACATCAGAATAAGAAGGTTAGCGTCAAAGGCAGTTTCCCGTTAATCGTATCTGATGGTTCCTCAGCCATCCAAGACAAAAATTCTCATAGTGAGGTCAGCCAATTTAGCCCTGGAGTGTCTTACCATCTCTAGGATATGCCGTTGAATATTTAGTTCACATATGAAAAGGTTTGGGTAATTAGAATTTTTGGCTTTTGTAGCTGCTAATAATAATAACGTAGTCTTAGTTCTCAGCTCCATTTAACACACATTCACAGTAATTAGATCCTTTCAAGATCAGCATAAACATTTTGGCATTCTATAGCATAATTCTATAGCATATATCATAATTATGCTCTTGAATCCCTATTTTTTTCAGACATTTATTGACGAGGTTTTTGTTTAAAAGTTTTAATTTGACAGACCTTTAAATACGATGGTCCAATTGTAAAAAAAAAACATCAGTGTGATATATAAATTGTATATTTATTTTTTACTGAACTTTTCTGTGGACCCCTTGAAGCCCCAGTTCTTATTCTTTTAATGCCTACTAGTACGATGTCCCAGGAATATGAAAATGTCTCATTACTTTTCATGTTCTGCTTGCAGGAGAGAAACGCTGAAAATGCCATTGAGGCTCTCAAGGAGTACGAGCCCGAGATGGGCAAGGTCTATCGCCAGGACAGGAAGACTGTACAGAGGATCAAAGCCAGGGACATTGTACCCGGGGACATTGTGGAAGTTGCCGGTAAGAATTTAAGTGACTATTCAAATTCAGCCAGTGTGAACATTGAATTCTTACCAGCAGTAGGAAACTAATCAGGAACAGGTGTAAAGTAGCCAGTGCCATTATCCAGATGGTACGGCTGCTGTGTGAACAGGTTGGTTTCCCAGTGGTTTAGGCTTACAGTGACAAACTCTCTCTGAACCTTTGTGTGTGATCACACGGTTGCCTCGGGAGAGATCGTGTTTCATGCGTTTCGCAGTAAAGACTTACTAAAGAGTACAAATTAAAGCTCTGCTGGTACTTCAAGAAAACAGCAAATTAACTAATTGCTCTGTCAAGTTTGCCACAAAATCATGTCATATTTTTATTGCTTGAGAAATGAGAGCTAATGTTACATTTTTGTATGCATTTCCTGTGCTTTTTGAAACTCAAATACAGCATGAGTCACAATTTTCTGTACTATTGATGTATTTCCTATCGAAGCAGGAAGTTGAGGTGGTACATATTAGGCTTGTCACTTTTTTTGTATTGATGGAATTGAATAATTTTGAAAGTCTTTAATATATACACACTACCATTCAAAAGTTTTGAGATCGGTAAGATTTTTTGTTTGTTTTTAATAGAACAGAGTCTGCGTTTATTAGATCAAAAATACCTTAATTAGTAATATTGTGAAATTATAACAATTTAACATAACTGTTTTCTATTTTAATATATTTTAAAATGTGATTTATTTCTTTGATGCAGAGCTGAAATTTCAGCATCATTGCTTCAGTTTCTCATGATTCTTCAGAAAACTCAAGAAACATTTCTTATTATTATTACTATCAATTACTATCAACCGTTGTGCGGTGTAATATTTTTGTGGAAAATGTCATACAATTTTTTCAGGATTATTTGAATAATTGAAATTTGTTAAAAAAAGGCATTTATTAGAAATAGATTTTTTTTTGTAATGTTATAAATGTCTTTACTGTCACTTTAGATCAATTTAATGCATCTTTGCGGAGTCATTTCTTTATCTTTATCAGGTATTTTATTTGTGTAATGCAAGATGAGTCATCAATTTTTTTTAATCCATTTTTATTGAAGAGAATGACTGTAAAAAGCATGTACTTTGTAATTTGGTTAACTTTTAAAGTTAGAATTCCCTCGTGAATTCATCTGAATAGGGTTTATCAGGAGTGCCCCTTGCTCTATATTGCGTCACGTAACGCCACGTCTCTTTGCTCACTGGAATAGATCATTTGGCGCTTCCTTATTGCTTCAGTGTTTTAGACATTCAATGGCTGTTAAAGCTGCTAGACTCTTTCAGCTAGTGTGAAAGTGGCAGTCCACGGTGACTATACTAACCAAAGACTTTATCATAAGTGCCCTTAACATATTTTCATTTTATGGCCGGCACACAAAATTTGGATTGTGTGCATGTGTAACCTTTCTATTACCTTGTGTGTCCGTGCTGGGCTTGATGAGATGTGCTCACCAGCTTCAGGTGGAGTTAGATAGATGCTTAGTCATGATGAGATGAAACGGGTGTTGATGAGTGGTGAGCCGCATGGTGCAGTAGAGCCTCCATCACCAGGATGGGGATTGGAGGAGCCGCTGTTTTTGCGGCTCTGACTAATAATACCCTGTGGTAATATGACCAGGTGAGTGTCCCTGTTACATAACCTGTGAGGGGAGCCTAAACAGACGGGTCCTGAAAAATTAAACGTTCCACTTACAATGCCACTATGTGGGTGGTGGAGTTGCTAAGGATACATTTAAGGGATGAGATTATGGGAAGTGAATAAAGAAGATTATTTTGCAGAACCTGGAACAAGAATGACTAGGCTGCTAAAATGAAACCTTAGCAGCCAAATGTATTTATTTTTTATTTATAATAACAAAACTCCAAGAATGTGTACCTTTAGTTTTTACTTGAAGTTAATTATTTAATTAAAGTGTACATCACCGTAACAGTTCCTAGTTCATTTGGAATTGGACATGTGACTCAAGATTAAGTTGCTTACAGAATAATGGCTCTGAACGGTTCACTGAGCAAGTCTGATTCAAACAGCTGAATCTAAGTGAATTCAAAGGCTATTTCGCAAATCTTTTTGACACATTCATTAAAATGCCATCAGTATTTGAGTTTTTTATTTTTTTTTTTTTAGATCAGACACCACGGCTCAGACTGTTGATGGTTGCATGCAGAAAGCACTGTTGCGTCTCTAACAAGACAGTGTTTGACAACTTTGTGTGCTTCCATATACAGGTTTTCCTGTGGTGGCTATATTTTAAATCATTACTTGCAACAAAAAAGCAACAATTCACAATCAGTTTAGTCACAGGGTGGAGCCTCACTTGCATCCATTTTAGTTTAAACCAGGGACTTAAATCTAAAGAGGGGGAAAAAGTCCTTTCCCGTGGTGGTGGGTGGTGGGGGCTGGGGGATGATGTTGATTGGTTTAGATAGTGCTGTAGAGTGACGCAGGACAACCGTGTTTAATTTGTTGCTACATCAGAGATGGAGAAAGAACTGCATTCCTTTTTTGTCTTGTGAAGGACAGAGCGAGGTCATAGAGGGGTCTGATTCTTGAAAACTCCTATATAGAAGGGATAAAGCTGGTTAAATGGATTTAGGTTAACCCTTCTTGCATGGTGGAAAACAGTGTCGCGGGAAGGCGGTGGTGAAGGAAAACAAAGAGGGAGGTGACTGCAGGGGGAAAAGAGAGTCTCGTGAGTGGAATGTTAAGTGTCCGTCTAGTGGCAGCAGCTGTGCAACCTCGCCGTCGACACCAGAGCTCACAGCTGATCTCGCATGAATCTTCAGCATCCACGTGTCATTCAGCCTCTGCTGGGAGGTCGACGAACTGCCTTCAGCAGATGGTGCAGTGATGTTTGAAAAGCAATGGTCCCCTTCTTCTGATGAGGTCTGCATGACGTATCTTTAATCAAACCCGCAGGATTTGGAATGTGACGCAACCGCATGACGCAGGGAAATAAAAAAATGTTTAAAAACACTTTAAAAGTTACCTTTCAATCAGACTGAGAGATAATTTGTCATAGACCTTGCATTACTAGACCTCGGTAATGCAATTGTACCTCTTACTGTACACTACCGTTCAAATGTTTGGGGTCAGTACAATTTTATTTGAATTAATCAAGAATCCTGAATTTTTTATCCTGTTACCACAAAAATATTGGAATGATTCCTGAAGGATCATGTGACATTGAAATTGGAGTAATGATGCTGAAAATTCAGCTTTGTCATCGCTGGAATAACTTACATTTTTAAAAGTTATGTAAAGTTATAATATTTCCCGGTATGTTTACAGCATGTATGATCAAATAAATTCAGCCTTGGTGATTTATGAGACCTCTGTCAAAAAAATACAGACTTTTGAATAGTACTGTCAGTAACTGTGCATGTAAACATAAGTTGCTACATATTTCTCTCGTACATAAGTTGGTGATACATTTTAAAATTTAACTCTTCTCACATTTGTTTTTGCTAAAGGCATAAATTATACCTTAAATCCTCCAGCTATCTGAGAACAGTGACAGCTGATGTAACTCCTAGCATAGCAGTGGTAAGCCCCCATCCCTTTGTCATGTTACCTTGTGAATGGCTGCGTCTGCGTCATCTTGCTAAATTGGTTAAATGGCAATAGATTACTTGTACATTTATCTTTGTATTTTTTCCACCTACCTGAGCTCTGAGTCATAAACTCTAGTCCCTGTAGCTGCTTTTATTTCACTTTACTCTCATAGAAGAATGACCTTGCAGGGCTTTGCTGAAGATGACAGCCTCTCACATCTCTGTTATTACCTCTCGTCTTTCATACATCTGCCGTCTGATAGCATGTAAAGTGATGCCATCATGAAACATCTGATCTGTTGGGCTGTTGGTCCATCTCCTGTCATCTGCAGACCAGCGGCGGTAATTGACCGTTCAGCTCTGTGCGCATCTCCTCTTTCAAAATGCAGAAAAAGCTCTTTGTTTCTGAGCACTGCTGCTAATGCTGAACTGAGTGGATTTTGAGAGTCTTTGTCTTAATGACTTTTAATTTAGTTATTTTTGACTTGATTTCCAATGAAAATATATCTGAGGCTATGTTTTAGCCGCAAACATTTTTTTTGCATATACAGATTTTATCTAGATGGGTTTTTGAAATGCTGGACAGCAAAAAAAAAAAATTCAAATGGGTTTTCAAATATCTGATTCTAACCACATTTGGAGGTGGTTTGAAATGCGATTCCAATCAGATTTTTACAGATGCGTATCAGCCTGGACTCTCAAATTGTCTTTTTCATCACTCTTAATGCGACACAAGTGATAACGTCAAAACCAGTTACGGAAATGTGGGAAGTATTCAAACTCTTCAAACAGAATGTCCAAAGATTTTGGCCGTGACTACAGCATTTATTTTATTTTTATGAAAATGGACTGTTTATTACTACTGTACAGTGATTTCCTATTTGAAATTGTGTGTAATGCATAACAGTGACTGTAAATTAAGTATTTTAGGTATTGGGAGTGGGATATTTTGCGTTTTGGTATTTGTTCTATGTTTGATTGGGAATTTGGCTGTTTTTTTTGTTTTTTTTTCATAGATCTGGCAACCCTCCCTTGAATATACATGTTTTACTGCACTGGCAGAATTTCATGTTTTTAACGAGATGGTTCAGTTAGAGCTAAAATGTATGAAATTTAATATATTTTGCACATTGACAGTACCAACCCCTGAATTAATCACATTGAGGTGCTGCCTTATCACTTTTTCTCTGTTTGAGGGTACATTTACATGACAACGATGTGCTAAAAACGGAAAAGTTTTCCACATACAGAAGACAACGTTGTCAAAACGATCCCTGTTCATACGGATCCTCAAACTACTGCATTATGTATTGTTATAAAAAAACGTATTATGCATGCCATGCCAGTAGTTGGCAATGCTACTTTGTAAAGAAAAACTACGTGCCTATACACTGACTAAACGCATAATACGCATGCTCATAACGGTATAGTCTTTTCAAAAACTTGCACTTTGAAACCCGTGTTTTCAGGCCCCCAAAATACTGTTGTCGTGTAAATGAACAGTCAAAACGCATAAAGTTTTCCATTTTTACTTGAAAATGGTGTTGTGTAAATGACCCATCTTCTCTTGAGCGTAGACTTCCCTTAAGGGACAAATGTCAGTGTAGTGAGACATTAGCCAAGGACACTAGTTGCAAGAGGATGCTGGGGGATGGAGACAAGTGTAGACAAGTCCCCATTGACCCAAAAGGAATATGGTGAAGCACATTGCTGATGCAAGCCACCTCGAGAAAAAAAAAAGGGAATAGAAAGCATTAGAAACATTAGCTTACTGCCGTTGCCACATGCTAACCGCGGGAGTGTGAATGCTGATCACGTCTGGGAGAAAGTGACAAGCAGCCAGTGTAGACGGGGCTTTTGTGGTTTTAAATGTATTGTGTGACTTCCTGTTCACAAGTTAATGTCGTCTTACTCCAAGCGACACACTTTTTTGCAATCCTCCAGCCTCTAAATTTACTGTGCCTCTCTGCTAATGAACCAAGATTGTTTCCTTTTCTATGGTAATGGCTCGGACTCATGGGAATTGTCCTCAGAAGTATTAAATCGAGGCTGCTCTGCGATCACTCAGGTGGGGTTTCATTGTACGTAAAAAGTAGGAACAGAGACAGGATGTGCAGTTAAGAGTTGACGAGATAAATAATCAGTGAGCCAGATGGCTGCTTTCCCTTCTCTCGTGTTTGAAGGGGAGGTGTTCTGCTCTTTGTCCTCTCTTACTGTCCTCAGCAGGCATCGGTTCAGTCCCATCAGCAGCAGTGGGAACAGGCTCTTGGAGGACAAGTTGTCTGCATGACGGAGAGCATATCCGGCCCTGTGTGTTTACGTGCTCGGGTCGTCGCTGCACTTGCGGCCTCTCGTTGTCAGTTCCCTCAGGAAGCGCTCCCCGGGGAGCCCCAGCCAATCACTGCTTGAAAGGGAACGTTCTTTGCACAAACCAGCCAAAGGCAATCAGGGACAACGCAAGGAACTGTTGATGCTTCTCTTTGAAAAAAGGGATTAGACCTCCCTAAAGTTTGCTTACTAACATATTTGTTTGCAGTCGAGATGTCCCTTATGGTTTCTAATTTCTGGAGCTAATGTGAACCATGGATTTCTTTTATTTATTTTTATTTTTTGTGGTACATGCTATGAGCACTATTGAGGTTTTGTGTTGTTTTGCATTTTTATTTTGTTTATTTATATATTATTTGCTATCACTTAATTCGATTACATAAAGTCCCGGTTTCACAGACAGGGCTTAGATTAAGCTAGGATTAGGCCTTTGTTCAATTAGGGCATTTAAGTAGCGCTGTGTATCCAGTTCGATACTTTTTAGGCACCAACCGAATAGGCTTTATGCCGAGCGTCACGTGACCAAGCCGGAAAACAGATCACATCGCTTCCGATTCAGGTCTTTTGTATGTGCTTCATGAAATTTTTTGCGGTTTTACTCAAGATAACTTAAAAGGCGCAAGCAAAAATGAGCATAACCAATGTCCCTCGCATGTGCAGATTGATATTTAAAAGTTTTTTAATTTTTCTTCTTCACACTAAAGTTTAGATATTTAAATAGCATAAAACACCAATAACAAAGTGAACTTAGTAGGTTAGCTGATTACCTTAAAAATTCATAGATATCGTAGTTAGTTCTTACCGCCGTTAACACTTTCTCTGACAAGCGGATGCAATGAGACCTGTTTTCCGGTTTGGTCACGTGACGCTCGGCATAAAGCCTATTGCCTCTACCATTGAGTATCAAAAAATGTCTTGTCGTTCAGTACCTAAGGGGTTAATCTCGTAAACATCTGTGAACCAATAAGCATGCAGCATGATTGGGTGTGGCGAGGCATCAAGGAAAAAGCTAGAAAGCTAAAATTGCTTTTTTTAATTAAACAGTGCTTTAATGAACAAATTGTGTCCTTGTCTTTAAATTAATTCAATTACAAGTAAACGTTTCGCAAGGATAAAAAAAATGATCTGCTAATGCTGAAAATATGGAGCCCTTACTTGCACATTACTATAACATTAAAGCTTAACAACAGAGCCTAGACTTTTAGCCTAAATTCAGTTGATATTTATTTTTAGATATAATAATAATAATAATAATAATCAACACTCAAATAACAAATTGTATGAAAACATGTAAACTGCACATAAGGCAGTTTTTGCATTAACATATGTTTTTACTCTAATTTGTTATTGAAATATAAAAATTTACACAGTTGCTGTTATTTTCATGACAGATATTTTAAACATACATTAAATAATCAAGATATCAGTAACCGGTTAATAAAGACATTACTGCTGTGCTGTTTGGAAACGTCCAGTTTTGGAGCTTTATTTTCATTAATTTAGCCACTGTTTCGAATAAATACCTAGGGTTGTGTTTGTTTTCTTCTAAAAGTGTTGAAAAATAAGCAGATCTAGCAGTTTTTAATGTAAACATTAACTCAACTATATCATTCTTAACCACCCGCAACTGCATAGCAATGTGCTATAAACATAGCCAGCTACCATCTTGGCTGCTTTTAAGTATTTCATAGTACTCTGGCTCTGTTTCTGTTCTTTTGGCTTGATCATCCAAAGGTGAATATCTAGCACAAACTGTGGAGTAAAAACGGCATTATTGTACCTGTGTGTGTGTGTATATATAACTCTCTGTTGGAGTTGCTGCAAAGTTATCACAACCTAAATGAGGCCCTATACTGTTTCTCAGGGAGAGGAAATAGCTGAAGCCTTTTTTAAGTCAATGAGGAGTGTTTGACAGTTTGTTTCCAACCACTATTAGCAGCCAATATGACACAACCACTTGCTCTGTCAGCTTTTTAACTTCCCTGTTTTGATCTGGTGAAAGTGACCTTGATTTTTGTGTTTTGGGGGAAATCATCAGGGGATCGATAATAAAACTCAAGCTCTATAGCATAGCGGGCCTTTGAAGGTGTTTTTTGAGCATTCTTTTAATTAAAATGCCTGCGGCTTGTGCAATTTTTAACTTTTTAACTCTGTCATTAACAAGTGTTATTAGAATAATATTAGCTGGTCCAAAAATGATTTTTCTATGATCTATTCTTATAAGACTTTCTTTCCTTGTCTACTTAAAGTAGGTTACCCTGTTATATGACCTTTTTCTAACTTGAACTATATATCGGGATTATGTACCACATTCCTTAGTTTAGTTTAGGGTCATTTTAAAGGTGTATTATTATTGTAAATTGGATCATATAACTTTTTTTTTTTTTTTATGTCCAGAGAACCCCTAGAGCTTCCTTGAGTGTGTGCTTGATAAATCTATATTACATGTATTGCCATTGAACATGCTTTATTACAATATGTGATATGTAAACTATATATAGTTTGAAGGATATTTAAACTATATATAGGAACTCATAGGAATGAAGTAACCTCGCATACATTCTATGGACTAACAATCTCATCTCAAACAAAATCTGTTTATGTTGGGTCTTGGGTGTTAGCTTGACCGTGCACCATAGTTAATATCAAAATAACTTTTCCATTTTAGGAGCTGTTTTGGTTGTTGGTCTGATACCACCCGTCATGTCCCCCACTCCATTAAAAAGTGCATAGAGGCCTATTGGTGCTGTTGCATGTTGTTAAAAACTTAGTCCAGAAAAGGCAAAGCATCTAGGACAGTATCCTCAGGTTATTTGAAGTTCTTTCCACCCAGAACATCCTGTGAAAAGATTCTTCGTCATTGCCCACTCTTTCATAAACTTGATTTACACATCAGGCGGATTTAAACATACGCCATCTCAAATGACTAATAAACGTCAAGTGTTTTAGCATGCTCAAGTATCCAACGCCTTATTCATTAAGAGATTTGTTTAGAAAAGATTACGGTATTTACATTTGCTCTTTTCCTAGTAGCAATTACTAAACCCCCCTCTGTTTGTGGAAAGAATGAAGCAGAGTCTATTTTTGTCTACGTCAAAGTCGAACCAAAATGTTTCAAAGCTGCTGATGCTTCATTAACCTCTTCAGTGCAGGTTTTATCTGAAGATGTTGAGATGGTCCTCCTCCGTGTCTTAAAAAGGACTGGAAGAGATGAAGCATTGCCATAATTCTTGTGATATTTGGTTTTGTAAAGCTTAAGGACTTAGCAAGTGCACCTTAAAAGGTTTCTGAGAAAACTGTTGAAATTTAAACCCAACCAACCCATGATAACATGGTTTGTACTGTTTTCTTTTTAGATGTGTGATGTATTTTTGGCCTTCATTTCATCCCTTGAAAGCACAATCCGTTATCGTCAATTGCAAAGCCATTAACTGTTGAGCTGATACTTGAGATTCAAAAGGTGCTTGCTTGGGGGTTCATGGTTTTAAATTGGCACTGTGCCTTACAAACATTGTTTGAAAGTGTAATGGCACCTTTGTTGTAATCAGTGGTACAGCTGTTCTTAGATCCGTAGAGCCTGACTTGCTTTGCTTATAGGGATCCAAGTCCTTTCTCCTGAATTGTTCTTGCTCTTTTATTGCTGCTTGATTGTTCTTATAAATTTGGAAGGGCATGACAGTGTTGTTTTGGTTTGCTTCGAGCACTGGATTTATCTCAATCTTAACAGCATGTTTTTGTTTCCTTTCAGTGGGTGATAAAGTTCCTGCTGACATTCGCTTGACTTCAATCAAGTCAACGACCCTGAGGGTGGACCAGTCCATTCTGACAGGTGAGAACAATGGCATTGCCTCAAGTTGTCTTTTTAAATGTACATTCATACTAGGATTTGAGTAGGTAAAATTACTATGGACATTGCAGTGTTTTATCAGCAACAGGATTTAATGTCACAGTCTGCAGATTCTGTTTTTTATAAGTAATGAATCCCATATAACAAAATAAATTCAGTATCTACTTCTTTGAAATTTGTATTCTTAGTTTGTATTGAGCCAAGAGGTTAATCTATGATGTTGTGGTCAAACATCTTTATGCTAATTTGCTGGCTACAGTTCACTGAACTTGAACTTTGTTACACAAGAATAGATGAAATTACTTCATGTGTGCTTGCGTTTCCACTCTCCTGGGTTCACGTGCACATGAATGGAAGTAAATGGAGTCCAAATAGTATTTGTTGTACTTTGTGTCCTTTTTTTTTTAAAACTTTTTGATCCAAGTACAGGAAGAAATTTTGACCTTGGCTTTCGCACTGGGTAGTTCTAGGAACTAGCCACCAGGGGAGTTCCCCAAGATCTAATAGTTCCCTAAGGGCCCTTTTCCTGGTTGCATGCGCACCGCCAGTAGGAACTCTGAAGTGACGTAAGCCGTGCTTGTTGTTGCGACTTTTATTTTGACGGAGTGGCTGACTTTTATTTAGACTGCGCTGAGAACGCCAGAGCCTGAGCACACAGCGCTCCTATTCTCCATTAGTTTATGATCTGTTTAACAGTCCTGTCTTGCGTTATTAGATAGAATGTTGTACAAAAATAGATGTTATACAAAAAGTAGACCCGACCGTATATGAAAGTATTAGCTTTTGCCGTGTGGTTGATGCCCAATGTCTCTAGCTGAGCAGAAGTACATGATCATGTTTTGCTTGGTCCAAAGTCGCGTTGGATTTTCTCCTTCGCGTAACTGTTAAGAGGTCCATCTATTACCATTTTCCATGTTCGTAGAGTTAATTTGTGGAGTAAATGTATAGGCTATAATCTGTGTGTACACAGCTTTTTTTTTTAAATGGTGGGTGCTGGTGTTTCGCTTGCGTACGGCCAATCAGCGTCACTGGTAGTTCCTATTGCACTGGGTTAGACCCTACTCTGAAGTAGGAGCTAATTGAGTTCCTAGATCTAAAATCGTTCCTAGTTCCTGCGGTGCGAACACACCAAAAAGCGAGTACTTCCGCCAATAGTTCTAGAAACTATGAAAAGGTTCCTCCAGTACAAAAGCCCCTATACATTGAATATCCACTGGTCAGTATTTTTATACGCAGGTCTGATTTTTATTTTATTTTATTATTGTTTTGCAGCCGTCCTAATGCTGAATGTCCTTAGCAAAGACATCACAATCTAAGATGTTTTGTCTATTTTATTTTTGTATTTGTTAAATGTCACAGTACCCTTTTATCTCATCACAAAACCACGGTTAAATATAGTTTCCATTGCAGATGCAATTCAGATTTAGCATAGTCACTTCAGTAGTTGATATGAGGTGGAAAAATAAGGGTTTTTTTCCTGAGAAGATTCAGTGCTGCCTATTTTAAAGGTAGGTCAGCTGTGCCCAGTCTCTACAGTCCAGTTTGGGTGAAAGACAGAAAGGAAGTGCTCTTGTAGGCTTGTGGGTCTTGCTTTACTGCCTTAATTGGTAACGGCCTGTTCGACTTTTCCACATCTTTTAGCTGCTCCATCCATGGCTATTTTTTGTTGGGATTCTTTGCCATCCTGACCAGAAATGAACCGTTAAAGCTATTGCGCAAATGCACATCAAGGACTTGAATTGGGACACCTGCGTGATGAACTGGAAACCTAATCCTCATTGTGTTAGTCTTCGAGGGCAGTCAAGTAGTACTAGAACTTTGATTTCACCAACCTGTCACGTGTATCTTCTCTTCGCAGGAGAATCTGTGTCAGTAATTAAGCATACAGACCCTGTCCCTGACCCTCGTGCTGTGAACCAGGACAAGAAGAACATGCTCTTCTCTGTAAGTCAGACCTCTAATGACTGCTGTCAGCATATTATTTGTGGTATAATGTGGATAATGCAGGCCTTATTACTCTTGCTCATATTTAGGGTTAGACAAAAATACAATTTAAAAACATTCATATTTTGCAATTTGAATACAATTCAAAATAACGGTTTTGTATTTTAGTATATTTTCAAATTAATTTCAGTCTTTAGTGTCACATGATCCTTCATGTCATTCTAATATACTGGTTTGGTGCTCAAGAAACTTATTTCTTGACTTAAGGCGTATTAATGTTGAAAACTGCTTAATTTGTGGAAAACATGATACATTTTTTCAGGATTCTTTAATGAATAGAAAGTTCAAAAGAACAACATGTATCCTTGTTGAATATTATTGAGTATTTAGTACTGAGTGTTAATTTCTTTAAAAAAATCTTGCTGACCCACTAACATTTGGACGGTATTATAAGTCGTAATATATAATTGTGTATTAGCATCATATCTGTAATAGCATTTTTAACAGATATATTTAAGCAAACAACCACATGTTTTTGAAGGAATTTTATTATCAGTTTTGCACAGATGTGAGGGATTTGTATTAGGGATTTTAAATTATGATTAAAAAAAAACAATAAGTTATGTTATGGCTGATAGCAGCCAATATTAAAATGTATTGGTTTTTTCTAAATAAAAAAATGTAATAAAAAAAAACCCAGGTGCTTTTAAATGCTGCGAGTTCATTTAGGCAATACAACATTATAATAAAGTATATACAAATATGGCACACTGAAATATCCTATATTTGTTGATTCTGATCAATTAGCCTAAACAAATAATTTTTCGATAACCAATATGGTGCTGATGTATCATGCATCATTTGCATGATTTAGAACCAATTTTGTTTCTAGAAAACTTTGGATTTCACTAGTAAATTTAAAGGGGGTTTTAGATTATGATCATATTCAATCATAAACAATTTAAAACTCGCCTTTTTTTACTAAATGTTTACAGGGTACCAACATTGCCGCAGGCAAAGCGGTGGGCGTAGTGATTGCCACCGGTGTGAACACCGAAATTGGCAAAATCCGTGATGAGATGGTGTCCACGGAGCAGGAGCGCACGCCACTCCAGCAGAAACTGGATGAGTTCGGCCAGCAGCTGTCCAAGGTCATCTCGCTCATCTGCATCGCCGTGTGGATCATCAACATTGGACACTTCAACGATCCCGTTCACGGTGGGTCATGGATCCGCGGGGCCGTATACTACTTCAAGATCGCCGTCGCGCTGGCTGTGGCCGCCATCCCCGAAGGCCTGCCCGCCGTCATCACCACCTGCCTGGCTCTGGGTACCCGTCGCATGGCCAAGAAGAACGCCATCGTACGCTCTCTGCCCTCGGTGGAGACCCTGGGCTGCACCTCCGTCATCTGCTCGGATAAGACCGGCACACTTACCACCAACCAGATGTCCGTTTGCAGGGTGAGAATGCTGGGAAAATTATACACAATTGAAGTGGGCTTGCAGCTTCAGGGCTCATCAAAAATAACTTACAACCTCTGCTGTTATGAATTCTGTTTAGCCCATTATTTTATTCCTTGGCAATAGAGTTCTGTGATTGTTTAGAAATTTGCAGGCTGGGCTTCAGCCAAGAACCGAGTGTGATATTACTGCATAGACAATTGGCTCATGAATAAAAATGACATTCATGATGGTATTGATTTAGCACTAGTACGTTACTTGGCCTCAAACGAAAGTCGTGGGAAAGCTGTTAATCTGCAGCTTTGATATCTGCAGTTTTATCTTAGTTTCTCATGACCTTGTGTCAGACCACCCCAGGTTGCCTCTGTATTTCCTTTTATGTTGTTTTCATGTTTGACATGGTTTATTGTTCTCTTTCTCCCCTTCATCGTGTGCCTGTATACTTATTTCCTCTCATCTTTCGTCACCCTCCTCATCTGCTCTTCTCCAGCTTGACTGCGAGAGCTGATCAGTATGCGGTAGTCAGTTACTTGCGGTAGTGTTATATAACTGACCGTGTGTGTGTTGTGTTGTGTATGTGTGTGAGATCCACAGCAGCGCCTTTGCTGTGGGCTGTACAGTCAAGCATGCAAGCTGTGAAGCGGTTCTGATTTTAATCAGTTTTGGGTGTGTAAAGGTTAAATTTAGTTGCAGGCTTGCTTTTCTTTTTAATATAAATTATTTTAAATATCCTGAGCATTCACAGAATAAAATCAAGCATGTGTTTAAACCAAATTTATTTTTACCCTAAATGTCCCGTTTGCCTCGACTGTTTAAAATAATACTATATGGGAAGGGTGCTTCTAAAATTAGCAGCGTTTCAACTGAAGGAATGTAATATTGTTAACCCTAACCATTAAGCTTGTACTCGTGTTAAATAGTTAACTTGTCTTGCATCATGTCCACTATACACACGAATTATACCTCTATTTTGTGCCTTATTGAGGTTAGGGATGCAGCGATTACCGGATTTCACAATTAACCGCGCTTTAAAACGTCACGGTTAATTAATCGTAAAGACTATGCTACACCGCGGACGGCACGGAACGGAACTTTTGCACCTAACACAAAACGAAAACAACGTTACACCAGCGGTGCACCAGCTTAAAGTGTCGTGCTCGTCAACCACTGAGGGACTAAGCAGCGACGCTCTATTTCCACCGAAAAAACGCCTTAAGGGCCTGTTCACAGATCGCGTCTTTTGCACGCTCAAGTTCATTTCAAATGTAGGCGCACGGTGTCCGCGCTCATAATGGAAGCGACGCGCTCGTTTTTTCCAAGCGCGTCCGCGCTGCATCGAGATAAAAACATCTCAACTTTTCGTAATGCCGCAAGCGCACCGTGGGTCAAGTGACAAGAATCAACAGAGCAACGACAGACGCCTGCGGAGCGCAACCGCCCTAGCGCTTTGGAAAAAGGAGAACGCGGCGTGCAACTTTCAGCTTCCAGTGCAACGTAAAAAAAAACAACAACAAAAAAACAGCGGAATGTTTTGGTTATGCAAGTCTGTGGAAAACAGAATGTGACGTGCTCTCAAGAGTTTCAGTGAACATTTAACTTAATATCCTATTGCTTTCTCCTGTCTGTGTTGAGTAAATGTCAGGCTTTGTAGTTGTAATATGCCCGGTGTAAAACACTAACATAAGATCAGGGCCGTGTAGACTTCTAGGACTACCAATTAACTGCATTTCAGTTATTAATAACACTGCATGAGAGATGTTCTCAGTTTCTTTCTATAATTTGTACTCAAACTTCAAACAAACAAACCAAAATAATGAGATTATAATAGATGATTTCCTAAAGGCACATGTAAAATTTGGATTAATAATTAAAAAAGAGTATTAAAATAAGTACAATAATATTGGTGGATAACATTTGGACTATATTTGTTTTATTTTAAAAGAAATACATAGGCCTAATATTTAGCTTGCATTTAATTCAATAGAGCCAAATACTTTGTTTATTCTTATTTTCATTGGGATTTATTATCCCTTTATAGTATTATTTATGTTTTTATGTCAAATACCAACAAGATATTGTTTTCATGTTATCAAGTTTTCTACCTCAGGTTAAAAAAAAATTTAGAACAAACTAAAAACTTAATAATTTTGTGATCTATTTCAATCAAAGAGTCCTGCAGCCTTTGACTTAATTTGTTATTTTTAAAAGAAAAATGCTGGATGTTTACAAAGCACTTCTCTTTAATTCCAAAGGAAGAGATTGATTATTGTTTGCCATTTTATAATTTTGTACTGTGTTGTGGCAGCAATAAATAACACATTAAAATCTAGTGTTGAGTGTTCATGTGATATTATACATTAGTAGTGTTGTGAAATTAATTGATGCATAATAATCGTGATAATCGTTAAACCGTGATTATTTCTCAGACAATAATCGTACTTAGAAAATCTGTAATCGTTGCATCCCTAATTGAGGTGCAGTTATTTTTTTAAGAGTTCATATTTAGTGGTGGACCAATATGGATTTTTGATATCGATGCTGAGAGCCGGGTTACCTATTATATTATATCAGACCTTTTCATTTTTAAAAAGGTGAATAACAAATAATGCAATGAAATGTATATTTATTTTACATAGTTTACTAAATGAGAACTTTGAAAGTGAATCTATATTGGGGGGCGAATCATAACGTAAAATAAACATTTATACTTTAGCTAGCAACTTCTTGATTCTGTTTAGGATTTTCACAAATAAAGAAATTGTTAAAAACATGAATAAAAAGGAGGTAAACTCTGTAACCAACAGTGCACTTAGTAATCCAGGCGGTATTTCAGAAAGCAAGGTTAACTTAGCCTCACATACACCCTGAACAGTTGTTTAACCCAAACCTTGCATACTCGAGGTATGCAGGTTCCAAAGCTGCGCAAGTTCAGTCAACCTGGAGTATGAAGCATTAAGATGCTAAGATGAAATTTTTTTTAGATTGTCACCTATGTATTTTTATTATAGAATTACATTATATAAAACATCCTGATGCAAAAAAAAATAATACTTTGAGGGTGTCAAAACAAGTAAATTTCCTCTGTCTTGAATATGCTTTTCTTGCCTAGTTATTGCTCTAGTTAAGTAACCTTTGTTTGAAAGCCACAGAAATTTGTGATTTTTTTTTTAGCGAATTGTTCTTTTGAGTTTTTATCTAATTCTGGATTTAAAATGGTCTGAATGATTCATTAGTGACTCATTCTAAATCAAAATGATTTTTGGAAATCCTTAACTAGTGAAATTGCCTTTCTACAAATGTTTGTGAGTCATGTTAAAGTCGTGGAAATTCACTCATTAAAAGTGCATGGAAACATGCTGAAAACCACATAGCAACACAATGTTAATGACTCAAGACGCATACGCATCATTTCAGCATGTTTTGCCCCTTCATTCACCAATAGCTTTTTCTTTAGGAAGTGTTAAGTTTGATATTGTTTTTCCATAATTGTTTTAAAATTGCTAAGGGTTAGTTTATCCAAAAATTCTGTCATTACTCACCCTCATGTCGTACCGAACCGTAAGATGTTTTGGATGAAATGTAAGCGATTTATGTCCCTCCATTGACAGCCTACGCAACTAACACTATCAAGCCCCAGAAAGGTAGTAAAGACATCATCAAAGTAATCCATGTGGCTCCAGTGGTTTAATCTCAATTTTATGAAGCGACGCGATTGCTTTGTTTGCACCAAAAAAATGTACTAAATATTTCTCCAACACACGTTCAAGAGAGCACCACAAATCATGCGTGTTGTTGACACGAGAGCTGACGTTGTTGCGTGATCGAGATTTTTGCAAAAAACAAAGCGCTCGCAGTATTTTAATGATGTCTTTACTAACTTTCTGGGGCTTAAAGTGGTAGTTATGTAGCTGTCAATGGAGGGACAGAAAGTTCTCAGATTTCATCAGAAATATCTTCATTTGTGTTCCTAAGATGAACAAAAGTCTTACGGGTTTGGAACGACATGAGGGTGAGTGATTTTTAGGCGAACTTACCCTTTAAGTTTTTCTGCTAATCATGTCTTTCTCCATAGTGCCTAGCACTTTTGAAATTACTCCCTGTCTCTCTCTCCCCCACACTCTTCTGTCTCTGTGGTTCGACTCTTGTCCACTGGGTTTTATCACAACAGCAGGAACGCTGTTCCATTTTACCATCCCACTCACTCTCATCTCTTTTATGCTCTTCACTTCCTTGACATATTGGGGGTCTGATTGTCTTTTGTGCTTAAAAATATCCTTAATGCTCAGTTGCTTATGTTTGGGGGGGTTTGCTTGGTTTTAAAGGCCCTCTGAACCATTAAGTGAGTGTCATGTAAAGTGTTTACATCTGTAGTGCTGGTATATCCAGGTCAGGTGGAGTAGGGATCTTTTCATGAGATGCTTTCAAACATCAGAGATCATCTGTGGTGGGATGGCCTGCCACCTGCTGGTTGAGATTTTGTTTGATTTTTTTTTATGTCTTTTTTGTTCCAGATGTTCATTGTTGATCAGGCAAATGGAAACAGCTGCTCTCTAAAAGAGTTCACCATTTCTGGCTCCACATACGCCCCTGATGGAAAAGTGTGAGTTTTGCTGCCCATGTTCACACTGATATTTCAAAGTGCATGAGACACTACTGTTTAGCAACCTCTTTTTTCTTTTCTTTTTTTTTTACTCCAGGTTTCATGAGGGTAAACCAGTGCGATGCTCCCAGTATGATGCTCTGGTTGAACTGGCCAGCATCTGTGCTCTGTGTAACGACTCCTCTCTAGATTTCAACGAGGTTAGTTATTTACATCTTCTGGTATATGCAGCATCCTCTGTTCATGTGCGGAACTATATTGTCTAGCATACAGATGTCACTAAATGAATGAATTTGCTTAAATATAATTTTTAAATTTCTTCCCCATATTTTTTGTATCCTTGTAAATTAATAAATAATATTTTAAACATTTATAAAATATAATACAAAATAGTATAGAATTTTAACATTGGTCATTTGGATTATATAACATTGAAAACAAATGTCTGCTTATCAATATTAACCAGAATATGTATATCAGTGGATCCCTAGTGCTTGCGTTTATCAAACAGCAGTTCTGAAGAGTTTCTGTCTATGTCAGGCCAAAGGTGTGTACGAGAAGGTGGGAGAAGCCACAGAGACCGCTCTAACATGTCTGGTGGAGAAAATGAACGTGTTCGACACAGAACTAAAAGGCCTTTCCAAGGTTGAGTTGGCGAACGCTTGCAACTCGGTACGTCAAACATTTCCAACCGCAGATTATGAGTTGGTTGCAACCCTAGTGGGTCGTGTGGTTGTGGAAGCCCACATTAATTTCCAAATTGGTTGTGTTTGATGTAATGTCAGCATTCATCTCTGAGTAATTTGTTGTACTCTTTCTTTCTTTGTCTCAGGTCATCAAGCAGCTGATGAAGAAGGAGTTCACTCTGGAGTTCTCCCGAGACAGAAAGTCCATGTCAGTGTACTGTACTCCCAACAAAGCTCGCTCATCCATTGGCAAGATGTTTGTTAAGGTAACGCCACGTTTTCCAGGGAGACTTTAGCACTTCAGTATTCCATTTACCTGTTCCAAACAGGACTACTTAACGTTTGAAATGTGTTGTGGTACAACAATGTACCTGCAGCTTCCTTAAACGCATTATTTCTGGGTGCAGGGTGCTCCAGAGGGAGTGATTGACAGATGCACGCACATCCGTGTGGGTGGGAATAAAGTCCCCCTGACAGCAGGTATTAAAGAGAAGATCCTGTCTGTGATCCGTGAGTACGGCACAGGACGTGACACACTGCGCTGTCTGGCTCTGGCCACCCGAGACAACCCATTGAGCAAAGAGAGCCTTGTACTGGAGGACTCAAACCGGTTCATTGAGTATGAGGTGAGAAGAGCATTTTTGTGTTACAACAATCACAATAATGTGTGTGTGTGTGTGTGTGTATAAATATTTATTTATATATAAAAATATTATATATAGATTAGGGCTGGGCATGCTTTAACACATTTATTAAAGGGGTCATATAATGCCATTTTTGTACAAGCTAATATGATTCTTTAGGGTCTAAATTAAAAGTTTGTAATATACTTTAATTAAAAATTCTCATTAGTATTGTAAGAAAACACTTATTTTACCTGGTCAAAAACAGCTCTGTTTTCAGCACGCCGTTTCAGTGCATATGACTTTAAATGATAATGAGCTTTGCTCACCCCGCCTCTGTGTTCTGTGCTACACCGTTTGTAACTCAATAACACAATAACCATAACGCGTTGTTCAGTATAAACGTGGGATTATGAATTATATTGAGAACGTCATACATAGAAAACATGCCGTAATGTACCCTGAGTGTAAACCTTAGACGCATTCATTGTGAAGCGTGCAGCTAGCGATTTGCAAAGATTAGTATATTAATATAAAGTTTAATAAAACGTTACACTCACTTCCGTTCTTCTGGAGATTCAGCAGGAACACGAATATCTGGTACCGATCCTTTTTCATGAGCAGCTTCTTAGCAAATCCAGCTTTATACTGATCCTCGTTTATAAAGCAGTCTGGTGTGAAATGATTCGCGCAAACATGAGAGCATTGACGTTGCTCGTGGGGAATATTCCCTTCGAAAACAAACACAGCCACTGCGTCTTCAGCGGTTCGGATTTAGGAACATTAAAATGACTGCTGTGTTCGTTATTACACCCAAGAACAGAACACCACAATCGCTTAGACGCCATTCTGCTCATAGACAGTGCTCCAGCATATCAACAATGACCGCGCCGGTCCGCGCCGTGCAGACTATGATTGACAGCTCCCTCATGAGCGAGGGCGGGTCTGTGTTGAGACGCTCCTGTCAATCAACAATCGTGGGAGGGGCGTGCGAGCTTGTGACGTCACAGGCTCGAACGGCTCGATTTGAGGCAGGGGAAAACATATAAGGAGATTAAAACAAAACCACTGGATGGATTTTTATCATTATATGATGGTTGTGTACAGACACTGCCAACACACATTTCAGTACAATCAACTTGTAAAAGTGCATGTACCATTATATGACCCCTTTAAGTAACGGCGGTAAAAAAAATTTTCGCGCGTTAACGCAGTTTTTTTTATTATTATTATTTTGAAAGTCCGTTGCTCACTGGCTCTGAATACACACAGGCCTACAGTCAAACCATGGGTCACAGGAGGGGTGGGATGTTGGTCAGCCAGCAAATAACCCTCCCAAACAAGCAGTAGAGGAAGGCTTCAGCAGGTTCTCTCAGGTGAACAGAAAGGGAGACAGCGCTCCGCGAGTGAACGGCAGGCGCTCTATGGATAGTAACCATGGCAACGGCTTCAGTGCGCAGCTGCAGCCTTTTTAACTTAAATTAAAATTATACATAACTTTACCTGATAGGCCTGCGTTTAGTTTAGCGGGGATGCTCTGCCATGTGAATTCCCTCCTGTTGATGTCCTGATAACTATTTAGATTCTGGAAACTCACAAACAGCGAGGATCAGTCTCTCTTCCAATGATTTGTGCTGCGCGTCGTGTACAAAAAGTTCAAGAAAATTCAACTTCGGCGGCAGGCGTGTGCGCGCGCACAACCGCGACAGTTTCACGGGAACGCACCCACTTGCTACTGAACACAGACGGTTTCTGCTGCTCCCTGATAAAAGATACCTGTTGATACCTGTTCAGAAAAAAACAAGAAAACAGGACTCTGGTGGTAACTTGTTTTAACAAGCTAGATAAAAGGTAATGCCCTGGCAGTGGCAAATAGCTTTGGTTTAATATTTGATTTGATTACATTAATGTTTAAGTTGAGATTTACAAGAAATGTTGTATTGCTATTGTGTAAAGGGAATACTGCTGGTAAAAAGTACATTAGGCTATTTGTTTAAAGTTTTTGCAAACCACATGTCATTGCACTTTTGTGTATATAGCAGTACATTTAAATCAAAAGTGCGCAATACACTACTTTAGAATTCATTATTCGATTTTGCGCGTAACAATGCAATTAATCGCAAGAACATCATGCGATTAATCGCGATTTAAAAATTTTTATCTTTGCCCAGCACTAATATATATATATATATATATATATATATATATATATATATATATATATATATAAATATAAATTCTTAACTACACAATTTTCATTTTAATAGACGTTTATTATAATTGCTGTTTTTCCTTTAGACGGACCTGACCTTTGTGGGATGTGTGGGCATGCTGGACCCACCCAGAGCTGAGGTGGCAGCTTCCATCAAACTTTGTCGTCAAGCGGGCATTCGAGTCATCATGATCACTGGTGACAACAAAGGCACAGCTGTGGCCATCTGCAGGCGCATCGGCATCTTTGGTGAGGATGACGATGTCTCGTGCATGGCCTACACTGGCCGAGAGTTTGACGACCTGTCTGCTGCCGCCCAGCGTGAGGCAGTGATCACTGCCCGTTGCTTTGCCCGTGTCGAGCCATCTCACAAATCCAAGATTGTGGAGTTCCTGCAGTCCTACGATGAGATCACTGCCATGGTAAATCAGATTGCGAAATCGTAACAAATACTAACTGAATGATTTTATGTACACTTTCAATCTAAAGTTTTGGGGTCAGTAAGGTTTTTAAAAAGAAGTCTCTAACCAAGGCTGCATTTATTTGGTCGAAATACAGTAATATTGTGAAATTATTACAGTTTAAAATGACTGGTTAATATTTGTTAAAATATCATTTATTCCTTTGATGGCAAAGACAAATTTTTACTGTAGCCACTCTAGTCTTCAGTGTCAAATCATGATCCTTCAGAAATCAGTCTAATATGCTGATTTGCTGCTCAAGAAACATTGCCTATCAATGTTGAAAACAGTTGCTGCTTAATGTATTTGTTATTAATATTAACTTTATTTGGAATTTAAGTCTTTTACTGAATTGAAGTGTCTTTACTGTCAGTTTTGATCAATTTTATGCTTCCATTCTGAATAAAAGTATTTCTTTAAAAAATAACAGTTGTGTATATTTATGTATTAATATATTATTTATTAAATTACTATAAAGATGGAGGAAGGATGTCTTCTAGATGTTTATATTGGCAAATCTTTCTCCCTCGACTGACTTGACTTGCTGTGTTCATTGCTGCAGACTGGAGATGGTGTGAACGATGCACCTGCTCTGAAAAAGGCTGAAATTGGCATTGCTATGGGGTCAGGCACAGCAGTGGCTAAGACTGCTTCAGAGATGGTCCTTGCTGATGATAACTTTTCTACCATCGTGGCCGCTGTGGAAGAGGGTCGAGCCATTTACAATAACATGAAACAATTCATCCGCTACCTCATCTCCTCAAATGTCGGCGAGGTGGTCTGGTAAGGATCCTAACCTTTTGCTAACTTTATTTTTTTTTTACTGGCCCGTCCACATTAAAACATTTCAAGTCGACATAAAATGCCTATTGCAATCTATTTAACTTGTGAAATCTTATGTACCATTAAATATTCTGGGCTTGGTAAGATTTGTTTTAATGTTCTTGAAAGAAGTCACTTATGCTCACCAGGGCTGCATTTATTTGATCAAATTGCAGTAAAAACAGTAATGTTATGAAACATTATTACAATTTAAAATGACAGTTTTTTTGAATACATTTCAAATGTAATTTAATCCTGTGATGGTAAAGCTGAATTTTCAGCAGCCATTACTTGAAATAGTAAAGACTTTTACACTGATCAAAAGTGACAGACATTTTTTTTGTAACAATTTAATGCGCTCTTTCCGAATAAAGGCCCGTTCACGCAGAGGACAATAACTATAACGATGAAGATAGAGTAGATATAGTTCTAAAAATTGTTCTAAATATAAAAGAATATCTACTCATTACTCTTAAGTCCTCACTACAACTATAACGATAACGACACAGAGGAACGATATCGTTTGAAGCAATTTCACAATGATTTTTTCCAGCTGATGAACAACAAAAACATTGACAGCAGCGGACAACAAAACTGCAGGGCGTTAAAGTTAGTCATGTTTAGTTATAGTTCTTGATGTAAAACGATTTGATTTAATACAGTATATAAATCAAACTTTTGAGTATTAGTCTATTTCTAAGTGAAACAGGTTTTCAGTTAGAGAAAATTATTTTATTTTTTATCAATCAATTGGTGTTGATACCAGAATGGTTATTAAAGCAATAAGCCTCTTGAAGCCGTGTTTTACAGTGAATTTAGAACAGCTAAGGGGCGTTGTCTGCGGAGTGCCTAAAACCCCCTTAGCTGTTCTAAATTCACTGTAAAACACGGCTTCAAGGGGCTTATTGCTTTTATAAAACGGTTACTCCATAATTTTCATTTTAATATTTATTTTATTCATAAAATAAATACCAGCAACAAAAATAACACATTTATACGCCAAGTAATGTAGTTCCAAAGAGGTTGCCAATTAACACATGCAATGACAAAGAATCACAAACGGCAGTTGCACAGTAATACTAATGTAATGCAGTCACAGGTGTATGTTTGTTGAGTGATTTACAAAGGCTTCGAACGCGGTTCAACCAATCAGAATCAAGGACCTGAACTATCCGGTTTATTATAAATGATATATTATATTGTATTTTGTATTTTATTCTTTATGTAGTTTACTATTCATCCTGTGTGCCAAAACAGAGCAAGTCAGTTTCTTTTCAATCTTGTTTTGGCACAATTTAGTCTCCATCCTAAAAGCGATACAATATAACTGACAACACTGTGAAATTTATGCCTTGAGCAAACTCAGATCACTGCCAAAGTCCTTTTGACATTCTTCCAGTTGTTATCTAATCGCTTAACTCACTATGTGTATTCTCTCTGGCAGTATTTTCTTAACGGCTGCTCTGGGCTTCCCCGAAGCTCTGATTCCAGTTCAGCTGCTGTGGGTGAATCTGGTGACGGACGGTCTGCCTGCGACCGCTCTGGGCTTCAACCCACCCGACCTGGACATCATGAGCAAACCCCCTCGCAATGCCAGAGAGCCACTTATCTCTGGCTGGCTCTTCTTTAGATACCTGATAATTGGCTGTGAGTGCACCACTGACTTTATTTTCTATATAATATGTATTTTAAATTTTTTTGTGGGTAAAGAAAGATTTGACATGTTATGTTCTCCATGTCACCCTAAAGGTTATGTAGGTGCTGGTACTGTAGGTGCTGCTGCATGGTGGTTCATTGCTGCTGAAGATGGGCCTAGAGTCACCCTCTATCAACTGGTTAGAAACTCCCCTTACATTTTAATACTCTTTCTCAATCACATGCATCCCAATGTCTTGATTCGCTTCTACCATTTTCATCACTGCAGAGCCACTTCCTTCAGTGTGCACCGGACAACCCTGAGTTTGAGGGCCTGAAGTGTGAGGTCTTTGAGTCTCCCTATCCAATGACCATGGCTCTCTCCGTACTAGTGACCATTGAGATGTGCAACGCCCTCAACAGGTCAGTATCGAAAGTTCGCTACATAAAGGCACATCTTGTCCCTGAAAATGTCACAATTATTTACATCTGCTATTAAGATTCATCCAATGAAGCTGTAAGACGAGACATTGGTGTATACACCTGGAAGTCATTTTCTTGTAACAATGATCTTACCGATATTTTATTGGACTGTTCCACTTTTAATGCAAATAGAGAACATTTCTATGAAGTAAGCTCATCTAAGGACTTGTTTAGTAATATTTTACCAGAAAAGGTTTTAGAAATGTTATTATGTTTATGTTAAGAATTTTGTATAATATTAATTGATGTATTTATTTTTGTTTACATGGTTTTTATATAAAATCTATATTTTTGTAATTCAGTTTTTGTCATGAAGATAGATAGCCATAGATGCTGACATGGCATTAAATAAACTATGCTGAAGTGATCTTACCGTTTGAACGGAATTGTACTCTACAGATAGTGTAGTTACATGCATTTTCAATGAGTACTGAATAGAGTTTGACATTTTGAGGAATCACAAATCTTTTTATAACCTATTTATCCTTGTATTCGGCTGTGTCCAATTACCATCATATCCGCTCAAATGGATCTTAAAGGGATAGTTCACCCAAAAATGAAAATTCTGTCATTTACTCACCGTCAAGTTGTTCCAAACCTGTATGAATTTATTTCTTCTACTGAACACAAAAGAAGTTGATGGGTAACTGTTTAGTTACCCATATTCTTTAAAATATCATCTTTTGTGTTCAGCAGAAGAAATGTATTCATTCAGGTTTGGAACAACTTGACAGGTTTTAAGGTGACAGGTTTGACAGGCATAAATGGTGGATTATATAAATATGCAACGAGTCAATCAATTTCACAATGTTATCTTCTTGATGTCCTGCCGTAGTGTTTCAGAGAACCAGTCTCTGCTTCGCATGCCCCCCTGGGATAATGTGTGGCTGCTAGGAGCCATCTGCCTCTCCATGTCCCTCCACTTCTTTATCCTATATGTGGAGCCCCTGCCGGTAAGATCAAGTTTCAGTATATTGGTTCTTTTGTTTTTTTGTTGTTGTCTTTGTAGAATCTAATGTGTTTTTTTTAATAAATATTTTTAACTGTATAAACTCTTATACAATTAAAATTACAATTAAAAACATTATGCAATACAATTATTCAATTGTGACTTTTTTTTTCTTACAAATCTGACTTTATCACACAATTCTGAGAAAAAAAGTAAAAATTGTGAGATATAAACTCACAATTATGTGGGGGGGGGAAAGAATTATATAATTTATAGTTTATATCACACAATTCATTGCATTTCCAAGATTATAACTCGTAAAAAGAATGTACAGACAATGTTGTTGTTGTGCTGTAGCTGTTTTTATTTGTCTGTATAATTATATCTGTGTGATATAAACTTCGAATTGAGAGGGGGGAAATAGAATTGTGTAAGAAAGTTGCACTTATTTTTTTTTTATTCCATGGTTGGTTACTGTTTACTTTATTTTTATTCATATTTTTAACATTTCTTTATTTGTAAGAAAATACTACAATAGGATTAGAGAATCAAGCAATCTAAACTAAGGATAAATCTTTGTAAATTATCAAGTTTACTTTTTTTTCTTATTTTCATATTATTTCCAATTTAGTAAATATTATGTAAAATAAATATAAATTTAATTTCAGCGATTATGCATGTATTTCTATCTTTAAATAGTTTAATATCATAAGCAACAAAATATATTTCAATGCTTTTGCATTTTCTCGCTTTTATATAGCTTAGTAATTATATCGTATGCAATTTACGGGCATCAAAGAGCCTCTATCAATATGCGTGGTATCGCTTTTTCCCGTTGCTTTCAAATTCGTGATCAAGCGTACTCTCTGTATAGGAAGCAGCTGTTCTGACCTCTAATTTTACAAGATAAGATGTTTGTCAATGATGCTCAGGATCAGTTGTGCACCAAATCCTCTGCCATCATCCTGTCAGTCAGCTCTAATTGCTGTCTTCTCATATTAAGTGAAATCTAATGTACTGTAATGTAACCGACTACCACAGCTAGCCTAACCATGTTCCTTTAGAATGCGGTATTCACTTTCCATGCCTTTCCAAATTCAAAATTGGGCTTTGGGCACATCCCTAATGTTTGTGTAGTGACTCTACCCTGGGCTTTCTCTACAGATAATCTTCCAGATCACTCCACTGAACGTGACCCAGTGGCTTATGGTATTGAAGATTTCCTTGCCCGTCATCTTGCTGGATGAATTGCTCAAGTTTGCAGCCAGAAACTACCTGGACAAGCCCAAAGACCTGGACAAGCCCAAGGGCATGGCCTGCTCACTCAGCACCTGCACGGAGGGCATTTCCTGGCCCTTTGTGGCTCTCTCACTCCCCCTGGTGCTGTGGCTCTACAGCATTGACACTAACTTGGCTGAAATGTTCTGGTCTTGACTGAAATGAGCACTGATGTGTGTAGATGGTGTGTACGTGTGTCTGTATGTGTGGTTGTGCGTTTAAAGTGTGCCTCCGCAAACAGCGAATGTGTACGAGAAGGACAGGATTAACACAAAAATAACCTTAAGATAGAAATATAACTTTTTTCTTTTTTTTTTTTCTTTTTTTTTTTAACTGTCCGTTGGTGATTTGAGGAGACCATACAGACCTGAAGTCTTCAAGTATTAGTGACCATTAATATTCTTTTTGGTCTTCTTGTTGGTTTCTTTTGTTATTGCGTTTTAAATTAATCATTTGTCTCGTCTCATTTCAAACCAGTAACAATAATGGTAATATCCACTTTGTTTTCCCCCATATCATGTGTTCAAATTGCTGAATTGAGAAAAGTGCTTGTGTACAGACATTTAACACTATTTTATGCAATGGTTCATTTGTTCTTATTTGTTCATTTTGCTAACAGAGAGTAGAGTAGGTTGGGTAGAAAAGAGAAAGAAAGAGAACAAGACAGAAGAACTGTTTACTAATGTTTACCTTTGTGTCTTCGGCGTGAACATCGCTCAGAGCCAATGGACAAGCATGGTGTTGCAAAGCAGCATGGGAAAGAGAGTATGGGTCTGAACGTTTGAATGCTTCATGGTCAAATCCTCAGATGAAAGCTGCATGTTCTGTATTTCGCATGCATTTTGTGTGGTTTTTTCATTTATGATTTGTACCTGTATGTCTTTCCCTATGTGTAATAACTTCCATTTTTATGGTGATACATTCTGTTCCCACTATTACCTGACACGTTTGATTAGTAAAGCCAGTTTTTCTGCAGTAGGCAGAGTACAGCTACCTCAGGACTGTCAGATTAGACTCTCTCTGGTTGCTTCCCACACCCCCCACACACACACACTTAGCTTTACACCGCCTGTACACATTACTGCATGAGGCGTGCCTCTGTTTGAAAACTCAGATTCTTTTGGCCCTAACCAATCTGTTTTAAGTTCTTTTTTGTGTGTTTGTTTTCACTGTATTTTATAATTGAATGAACTTGCATTAACTTAATTTAGAGGTTTTCTTTTGTTGTGGGGTGGGGTGGGTTGGACAAAAGATGTAAATGTTACCGTTTATTTGGGTCAGAGATAAACAAGTAGAAAATTAAACAAGCAAAGGTTTAGGTGTTGCATTCAAAACATGAATTTTACAATGCAAAACCAAAATGTTTCATGCTCCCTTTTTTTTCTACTTTTAAGAAAATGCACTCATGAACCATTTGAATTAAAATGCGTGTCTTCATTTTACTAGCTGGTCTGTTCCTTCCTGCAATGCAGTACGGCAAGTTTTAAGAGCAATTATACTTGAATAAAGGAAAGTAATGTACAGAGATTTAGTTACATAGCTGAGCACAAGGTTGACAGCTGAGAGGGGTTTCCTTGTGAAGCAGCCTCTTGTTCGGCCCTCACCAGCCAGTCTGGTAAGACGGCCTGTATATTTGTACACATATACCCGAACGGTACAAAGTAAATTTTTTTTTTTTTTTTCATTAAATAGAGCTTTCTGGCGTTTCTCCATAGCATCACACTAATTGCTTGCTGAAATGGATGCATGTCCCTGACTATGCCCATGGTGTGGTATTCTGGTGTCAGTATTTTAATAAACAACCATGCACATTCCCTTAAGGCCCGTTCACACCAAGAACGATAACTATAACGATAATTGTAGCGTCCACACCAGCGGATGATATCATTCTGTTTATTTAAGCGAGCTGCAGCTTTGTTGTCTGCTACTTCAAATGCTCGAGCTCTTTAAACCAGGGCGGTTTCTGATTGGTTGTCAATGATTTTATCGTTCTGAAAGGGATTCCAACTATATCGTTTTTTGGTGCCGTTATAGTATTTTTATTATTATCGTTCTTGGTGTGAACGAGCCTTAATTAGCATTCAGTGGTCTTTCTTTTAAAAGTTTAGTTCACCCAAAAATGAAAACGATCCCATGATTTACTCACCCTTAAGCCATACTAGGGGTATATGACTTTTTTCTTTCTGCCAAACACAATTGGAGTTATATTAAAAAATATCCTGGCTCTTCCAAGCTTTATAATGCGAGTAAATGGTACCCTAGATTTTGAAGCCCAAAAAAGGGCATCCATCCATCATAAAAGTAATCTATATGGCTCAAGGGGGATAATAAAGGCCTTCTGAAGCGATGTGTTTTTGTAAGAAAAATATCCATATTTATAACTTTATAAACTATAATCTCTGGCTTCCGGTAACGGCCGTACACGAGTCTAGTTCCAGCAGAAGAGTGAACTCTGACCCGATGCATGACGTATTGACGATTGTGGAGGCGCAGAGGATGGAGCAAAACAAAACTGTTCATGAATTAGAAGTCTAAATGAGAATATTTAAAGAGAAATGTAGGAGAATTTCGATATAAAAGAAGAGGAGCTTGAGTTTGTTACCCAGCCTTATTTCTTTGAACCGTGAGAGGCGTCTACTCTCAACTAAGCTTATAATGCGTCAGGTCAGAGGTCACTCTTCTGCCGGAACTCGACTTGCGAACGGCTGTTACCAGAAGCCAGTGATTATAGTTTATAAAGTTATAAATATGGATATTTTTCTTACAAAAACTGGAGCTGTATGGATTACTTTTATGATGGATGGATGCGCTTTTTTGGGCTTCAAAATCTCAGGTACCATTCACTCCCATTATAAAGCTTGGAAGAAACCAGATATTTTTTAATATATGTTTGGAGGAAAGAAGAAAGTTATTTTCACCAAGGGTGACATGAGGGTAATTTTTGGACGAACTGACCCTTTAAGAAAGTGTCACTGACGTTGCCACTACACATTCCTCCATTCTTTTCACCACACGTTACAACAATCCGAAGCCTCAAGTTTTCTGACAATGGACCAACCCTGCTATGTAACTGCTAAATTCCTACTACGACGACTGCGGCTGTTTACAGCTGCACTTAACACATGGCCATATCAGCTTGAGTACATTCCACTGCAATATATGATGTTTTATAAGAAATATATTGTTACTTGATGGTCAAATTACATTCAAGCATGATTGTTTCCTTTACCCCATATAATTTCAGTCTTGTCTTTGAATGAAATGAATAGACCTCACCATTAGTTTTTATTAGAATGGTCCGTACACTGTGGTCTGACTTGCTCAGGAACTGAACTTGGATGTTGGCATAAATAAGAGTCAAATGAAAACACTATTGCCATTTTTTTTTTTTTTTTTTTTAAATGTTGCCTTTTGTATCAAGTAATCATACTGACAATTATTTACACCTTATACTTGGTTATATGCTAAATATTTATTTAGTGCACTTTAGCATTTCCATTTAATTATAAAACATTTTTTTTTTAAATCTGTATTTTTTGGCAGTTAATGCTAAGTAGAATCTGCCTCTGCTTGTGTTGGGAAACCTCAGGCTTCTGTGTTGTGCATGTCTTTTTTGAGTGGCTTCATTTTGCTGAATATCAGAACCTGCATGTTGAATGTGCAGTTCAGAGAAAATAGCCACCATTGCGCTGCAGATCATGACATGTCAGAGTGGACTTAATAATAAAACTCAATAATAATGAATACATGACAGAGAGATGAGAATAATAAGTGTGTATGGAAGCAAGCAGCAGCAGCAGCAGCATCAGTCTTCTACCATGCATGACAATGTCTACCATTGCCTATTGCTGATGCAAGGAGAGTTTGTTGCATTTTTTTTCTGTGTAACTTGTCATAGTTTTATATACATGTATTATATAGTATAATGCATGCCTTCAGTTGTAATTAGCCAAATCATTTGATCTATATTTATATAGCAACTTCCTGTGTACATCGCTGCTAAATGTATGATATGATTAAACACATCATTTTACAAATAAACTGCAGTTAATTTGACCAATGCTGATGTTCATGCTTTGTGTTTCTCCACGTGTATCTGTTAGGAAAAGCCATTGAATAAATTTAAAATATATATTAAATGATGGAGTAGGATTTTATTTTATTACTCACTATGCAAATTACCTGAATCAGTGCCATTGGCCAGCAGAAAAAAAACTGTGCCACTTGTATGTGCCACTTGTTCTTGGCCCTAAAATAAACAAATAAGCCATTCATTCGTATGAGTTGCCGTAAAATCTATAAATAAATAACTGTGTTTGTTGAAAGCAGGCCATTTTGAGTATAGAGATGTCCTAAGCAGTCCCTTACGGCTGTAATGTCTAATATTGAACACTTGAAGGCGTCAGAGACAAAATGTAGCTAAAGAATATGGTCCAATTACAATGACATCATCTTATTTCTCTTGTAAACACAGCTGCATCTTTTATGTAACCAGTGACCAAAATCTGTTTAATTGACAATAGCACTGAACTGACTTCAGGTGAACAACAGCCGAAATGCATAATTTCCCTGTTATCACTGTAAAGCTTGAAACAATATGTTGGCCTATTGTACAAAGCGCTATATAAATAAAGGTGACTTGACTTGACAATAGCAATATTAAAAAAAAAAAAGACGAGACACGGAAGGTTTTATTTTTGCAAATGACACTGTTGCATTAGCCTATGTGCTGATTGAACCACAGCTCGTGAAATCGAATTTTTTATCGATCTATATGTAAAAAATAAATAAAGAAAAACTGAAAGAAAACATGAATTATATTTAGTGCAATAAGGACATTACAAAAAGTGACAGCATGTCAAAGCAAATAATATTTTCAATACAGTATTGTGCGTTTTCCTTCTCTCACAGTTAAAAAAGGCTGCACGCGTATGTAAACGCGACTCAGTTTCAGATTCAGACTTCATTCCTCCTAACGCATGTAAAACGTCTGATATTTAAACCACGCCACACACATACGGTACTACAATCTCCCTGACCTATGCGGTGAAGCAGCCTGTCTCTTTAAATCGAACCCATGCTGGGAGAGCTGTCAATCATATGCCGTAGTCCCGCCCTTTCCTGCAGCAGCAGCAGCAGCAGCGGTGTATCGTTCACACGGAGGCATTACGTACAGCAGACTCACCAAATATGCACAGTCTAATTATCCGCGACAAAATGGGATAATCGTGAGAGTCTTCAGAGAATTTCATCAACGGGAACTAAAAGAACAATCGAGGAGAGTGATTTTTTTAACCTTCAATCTACACAGACGTAAGCACAAAGGGTTTTGGGCATAATGGTGATAAAAGAGATATCACATTATCAACGCAGGGAAACTGGAATACATGGCCACATACACGACCGGACCGTATGATTTGTTTATGGCGACCAGCTTAATTTGAAAAGCTTTTTAAGGAGTATTTTGTTTATTCCGTGCGATCTGGAGAACAGATGCTGTCATTGTGCTGGGGACCGAGATTTGTGCGCGTGATATTCTGCAAGTGGTCTCGTCGGAATGGTGCGCGAGATGAGAATGCGCGTGCCTTTATTGTTTCCGCGCGATATGCTCAATAACTGTCGTTCTTCTGTCGTTGAGCAACTCGACAACGACGACAATTTTGGTACAGAAAGATTGAGACTTCAAGTGACAATTCCAGGGAAATCATGAACGATATGTTTTGTAAACATTTGTATTAAGTGTTATTAAAGAAATATCCTTTATTATGAACGGGCAACTGCCGACTTTTCATACTTTCATCATATTTGCTTTTCTTCGGCTAAATTCCACTTAGTTGGAGCTACTTGACCGTGCGTTTCTGACCAATTTGATATTTTCAACCTGAGAAAACACAATGGTGGAGCCTGTGGGTTTCATTGAAGCCTGGAAAGCACAGTTTCCAGAGTCTGAGCCTCCGAAGATGGAGCTAAGATCTGTTGGGGGAATCGAACTAGAACTAGAGAAGTGCAAAGCATCCATAAGACGTTTGGAAATGGAGGTGAACAAAGAGCGCTTCCGGATGATCTACCTTCAGACGCTGCTGGCTAAGGAGAGAAAGAGCTATGACCGACAGAGATGGGGTTTCAGGAAGCCACCTCACATGACAGAAGGGGACCCACAAGCTGTTGGGGCCGATTCCCAGCATCTCCATGCACAGGAGCACGGACAGTCAGAGCGCAGCAGGTTTCAGCCTGTGGGGGAGACCAGAGTGAAACCACGACCACCCCCTGCCAGAAAGTCAGCCTCCCATGGCGATGGATTGGAGCTTCAATCGTCGTTTGAGGCACACCAAGCAGGGCCAGTCACTGAGACCGATGGACTCTCACCGTCCACACAGAGGGGCGGAGTCTCCCCTCGCAGGCCCCATCCACCCCCTGACAAGGAGCTGCCTTTGGATCCATCCTCGAAAGACAAGCCGGGCATGGGGCTTGGGGTGGCTGCATTACGTTCGAACTTTGAGAGGATCAAACGAGCCAACTCGCACTCAGCCAGCGAAGGAAAATCAGGCCAGGAGAAACCGTTTTACACCAACGTTGAGTTTCATCATGACAGGGGCCTAGTAAAAGTCAACGACCGTGAGGTCTCGGACAAAATCAGCTCTCTTGGGAATCAAGCCATGCAGATGGAGCGCAAAAGGTCACTTCATTCACTTCCGGGCAACCTTGCTACAGTCGCAGGTGATCTACGCACCAGGCCCGTCTATAGGGGGCGCTCTACTGAAAGCACCTGCGGATATGACGCAGAGTATGAAGACGGCGAACCAAGTCCTCGCTATAGCACTGCGAGACCGAACGGGGCCAAACCACCACCGCCACCATGGCAGCCATCAGATTTCCAGCCATATACTAGTGTTTACGTCGGAGGGATGATGTCAGGAGATGGTGGTGACGGTAGGGTCACTATGAGGGACCATGTAGGAAGCGACGACCATCTTCTCACCTGGCCCAGGAGGTCTTACTCGCCTGGAAGTTTCGAGGACGTGGGAGGCGGAGGAGGCGGCTACACGCCAGACTGCAGCTCCAACGAGAACCTGACGTCTAGCGAGGAAGACTTCTCCTCGGGACAGTCCAGTCATGTGTCGCCCAGCCCTACGACAGCGTACCGCCGCCCACTCCGAGAGAAGAGTCGCTCGCCTTCTCAGAACTCCCAGAATTCTCAGCACTCATTTGACAGCAGCAGCCCCCCTACACCGCAGACACAGAAACGGCACCGGCAGCAACATGTCGTGGTGTCCGAGGCCACCATTGTAGGCGTAAGGAAAACAGGACAAATCTGGCCCCACGATGGAGACTCTATAGCTTCCAGTCGGGCTTCCCATGACAACAGTTACCATGGAGATCTAGGTAAGTCATGATTATTACTTTTTCATGTTGTTGTTCTTCTTCTTTTACCCCCACAGGTGAAGCGGTTCCTAAAAAATATCGAATGTAACAAAAATGAATGGTTTTAGATTAGCAAAATTGGTTGATACTGTAAAGCTGTAAATGAGAGATGACATCATTGATGACATCATTGTTAATCTGATACACTAGGTAGCAATTTGTAGCATGTCTGAATAATAGCAACTCAATGCTTTTGGCCAGACACACTCTTCTTAGAGTGCAAATGAGTGGGCATCTTGTGTTTTTCTGCATTCTTGACTGGTCAGCATATCTGTTTTATATCCCTTTATATTTTGCTTGCTATTCCATTAAATCCCTCATCTGTCAGTTCCTGCACTTCCCTTCCCAAGCTATTGTCTACTTTTGTTTCACGCTCTGTCTGTATTGGTCAGACACTGTGACGGCCACTTGCTGTGGTTAGTTAATCCGGCCTGATGAGACTCATATATAAAGAGGTAATTAACTAAACTGCTAATTTATGATCATGAGGTCAGAATGTGTGTGTCAGAGTTTGTTTCTTTGTATAGGACGTGAGCTTTCACTCATGTCACATGCTGCTGTGGAAATCTCCCAATCAGGACAAAGACCTATTTGATGAATAAAAATGGTCATACGTAAATACCTTGCTTTTATTTTTATGGTACTGTATGTTAATGCAGTGATTTAACAGACTTTGGTTTTTGTAATGAAAAAGAGTAAGAAATCATTTAATTTCTGTGAGTTTCAATGGAGCGTGAAGTCGGTGGAGCTCTCTTGATACATCTCCTGTGAAATTCTGTAGTCGAGTGTAGGCAAAAGAAGGAAAAGTGAGCAATTTCACTGTTCTGTGGGATTTGTGTCTGCCCACATAAAGCAATATGATTAAAAAAAATGTGTCAGAAATTGTTTCTGTTGTAAGAGATTTTGACTCATGCTATCTAGCTGGCTAAGTTAGATTAGGTTTTGTTGAATTTACAAAAATGCTTGCGATAGTCTCAAAAAAGCATCTAAATGTGTTAAATAGTAATGTTTATAAGCAGTATAATTTTCAGCTCATTGCAGATTTTTATTTGTAAAGAAAAAAATATTTTAGTGAACAAAAAATGTTCAAAAGATTCTGGAAAGTTCAAAAGAACCGCATTTATTTGAAATAAAAATGTTTTGTAATATTATAAATGTCTTTATTTTTGATAATTTCAATGTGTCCTATAATGCAGAATAAAAGTATTTCTTTTCTTTTTTTTTTTAAATCATACTGACCCCAAACCTTTGAACGGTAGTGTAATTTTACGGATAATTTCATAAACACAATTTTGCTGTGAAAATTATAGCATGCGATACAAAACATTAGTGATTGGTTCTTTAGTTTTCGGCACAATTTCTGCCACTTTTACAAAAACCTAATTTTTGAAGGGGTAAAAATTAATGCGCAAAATGAATACAGTATTTTTAGTAGCAGCTACAAAGTGACAGTTCTGTCAACTATCCTGAAGTTGTATCACACTGGCTCCAGACTAGCAGGCAGTTTCTCCAGACTGAGCGGCAGTGGCTCAGTGGTTCATGTAGGTTGTCTACAAACCAGAAGGTTGGTGGTTCAATCCCCCGGTTCCACCTGACCAAGTGTCGAGGTGTCCATGAGCAAGACACCTAACCCCAGCTGCTCCCGAAGAGCTGGATGGCGCCTTGCATGGCTGACACCGCCTTCGGTGTATGAATGGGTGAATGTGAGGCAAATTGTAAAGCGCTTTGGTGGCCATTGGGTCTGTGAAAGCGCTATATAAATGCAGTCCATTTTTACCATTTACCATTTTATTGTTGAGTCCCGCAGAAGTAGGAACTCTTACTACTGACTAGCAGTACAGTATACTGTTACCTAACAAGCAGGTGTCTAGAAGATTCAGCCAGAGACAAGGATATCCATGAGCGTGACTCACCTGGCTGCTATTTAGAATGTTAGACTGTCTTCATGAGTGTTAGAAACTTTGAACTGCAATGTTTTGCTTGTGTTATCCAGTATCTTTTAACCTGTTTCTCACCAAGAAGCAGAATGATATCATAAGCTATCAGAATGACTACAGGGGAGGCGCTGTCATGTGTCACATTTGGCTTGAAATCCAAAGGCTTTGAGCTGATGAGGTGAATTGCACTTTGGTGTGAAGCAGACAGACCCGGAGGGCGTTGGCACGGCCCGTCCATTCAAATGCCAGGAAGATTCTCTTTGTGCAAAAGTGAGATAACACAGAGTGTGGATGAAGATGGATAGACACCAGCTGAGCACAGTCCAGTATGCTCCAGGTTCTTTTGTCCTCATACTGACTTGAAAATCGATGTGAATAACTTTGAAAGCCACTTCACATATTTTAAACAGTTAGCAAGCATGGCTTAGTGTTACCAGAGAGCATTGAAGTAAAAAGCTGTAGATCTTTAACCTGATGAAATGGCAAATGCTTCCCTACTTTAATATGCAATCAGTTATCTTCGGATCAATTTACATTTCATCTTGAGATGATTTGCAGTTTCGTTCCTCTTAAACACTGAATCAAGCTGGTCCGAACAAAATCAATACAGCGGCCATTCATCTAATGAAGAAAGCCCTCGCAGGCCTCACAGGTTACCATTAGCATGACAGTATGCAACTTATCTTGCCAAGAAAGAGATTCTATCTTATATGATCCTGTCTGCCTTTTTATTTAGTTTGACTTGCTGCTTAGAAATGTGATATTTTTAAAGGACACTGCCAAGGAGAGGAATGAAACCCAGTGGCCCAATACCTTAGTGCTGTAAGAGAAAAGGGAGGCAGGAGGACGTAGTGTGGTGTGCTGAACTGAACTGCTGTCTCTCGCCTCAGTGGAGATGTGGGGGATGCTGAGACTCAGATAGGAGAAGCTCTCATTGCATAATGGTGTGAACAGTCCAACTCACGCATGTGTGCGTATGCACGTGTGATCTTATGTTTGCACGCATTTATTAGATCTTCAAGCCTTTACTGAAGTAGATACTTCTTATAGGCACCCACCAACCCAGCCTAACCCTGTCATCCTTTTACTTTTGCAATTCAGAAGTATTTTAATAAAAAGCATTATTTCAGCACACAGAATCATCTGAGGTTTATGCATCTCGTTTCCTCGTCTACCCCTGGGGACTGTTCCCACAGTCAATGTCCCCCTTGTAAACAAGAATTGTAATTGTTTCCCGATGGTCCTCTGGCGTTTTGAAGCAGGCATTCAGGAAGAAATGTCTTTCTGTGGTTTACAGATCAGTAGCAGCAGTGTCCTTTGGGGTGAAGAGCGAGTGAGTCACGGAGAGAACAAGAGGCAGGGGATGACTGAAAACAGAAAGTTCTCAGACAAATACCCAAGAAAACATCAGTCATTCAGGACGAGGCTTAAGACCGCTGCTGTGCTCTGTGTTGAATATGGTTGCAAGTCATGAATGACGTTTACAGTGAAGTTGGGATTTCAGGTACTGACGGACGGATGGTTGTGTGGAAACTCTTTTAGTGCGCAGGGGAAAATTGTGACTTTTGAATATGGGAGCCGGAGGATATGCTAATAAAAAGAAAATGTAAAATTTATTGTGAGTAGATATGTTGGGATATCATTGTCATTGTTTCAGAAATTTTTTATTTACTAAACTTGATTGTTTCACTATATGATTTTGATTGACTAAAATAAACTAGTTCATTAGAATCAGACTACATTCCTGCCTGCATTTAGAAAATTCTTTGAATAAATGTACTACATTTGACCTTTGTCATGTGACCTGTCAGCGGCAGTTGTGTTGCTTCACTTCCATTAACAACTCTTCATCCGTTGCCTCATGGGATAGTAAAGTGATGCATGCTTCAGAAACTTGCCGAAAGGGGTAGGTCATTTCAGGTACATTTTACCTGTTTTATGAATACTGTGAATGCAGACATAATACCTTTTCACCTACTATATACTAGGGAACCATGCATATTTGGATCAGCCATTGTTCTGTAAATGAACAGGGTCATAACTTAAGTCATTTGTTCAGGAATCAGACTACACTCATAGGGCTGCATGGTTTTGATAAGCTAAAAGGGGCCTGTACTGCAGCTCTTCTGCTGCCTCTTCATAGAAAATATTTCCTATATTATATAAGATTTGTCATGAGGTTCCATGAAAGTGTTACCCGGGCAGTGTCACATCTGAATGCCTTTTAAAAGGGTGAGGTTGAGAGAGAGCTGTGGACAGGAATGGAGGTGTGGGTTCAGCTCAATGCTTGCATTGTCCAGCAGCACCACGTTGAGGTCAGGCTTTCCAGTTGCTTATTTTTAGACAGACACTCCAGATCCACAGAAGTGTGCTTTCTGGTGGCAAGTAAAAATTAAAAACAGAACGCATACTGAGTATGTGGAAACGATGACTGTGGTCTTCATTCTGAAAACAGGTTGTTTTTTGGTTTTTATTTCAGGCGAATTGGGAAACTCCGAATATTTGGCTAATCCACGTGTCTCTGCTGGTAAATTTTGTAATCTTTGCCAGATTTTGTGAATCCACAGTATTACAGAAAATAAGATTTCTACTCTAAAGATAGCTGTTTGTTGTGTTTTCTAATTAGAAACTGTCAAAGAATGGCAAAGTATTAGTAGGGGATATATGTGCGAAAAAAAGAATATCACATGTATAGGAAAATGGATTAATGCCAGTACAGCAAGGCTCTGCCTCCCAGTGTGCTAGGAAAGAGAGAGTGAGAGCTTGTTGTCTGAGGACTTTCTGCCAAATAGCAGCAAAGACAAAATTTTCACAACCCTCTTTTAGCTCCCTTCTCGCCTGGTGAGGAATGAATTGGGAAAAGAGAAGGGGGGGCACTTTACTCAGTTAGTGATTTGTGGTGTTAACACTCTAAAGCCCCTTTCACACATATTCTGGAAAATACACTGATAATGTGTCCCGGGATTGTTTGATTTTGGTTCATCAGGATGTGACGTGTAATGTCTCCTTGATGTCCGACGTGAA